TTTTTTTTTCAGTTTCAGAGGATCGTTTCATTTTGTTTTGTTTTATTTGTGTTGAAATCACTGTTTCTTTCCTCCAAGAGGCTGCTATTGCTGCAGGAGGAAGGTGCCTTGTATATTTCATTTCTGTAACACATGTGGATGAAATGGAGCAACATCTGCTGGGAGCTCTGGGGAAGAAAAAGGAACCCATTCACAATGTCTCCGTGACAGCCTGTCCCTATCACTCCTGCCTGTTTTCATATTTACATCCTTTCTGCTGTGTTTAAAGTAAGTTTCCAGTTATCTGCAAACAAGAGACCAGCATGCCTTGTGTACAGAGAATGAGGGGAGGGATAAGTATTTATGCTACCATGCACCAAACACTATGCAAAGTGCTCTACAGATATTATCTCGTTTGCTCCTCACAACAACCCTGAGAGGTGGGTACTGTTGTGATCCCCCGTTTACAGTTGAAGAAACTGAGGTGGGCCATGGTTAAATGACTTTCCCAGCATCACACAGCTAGAAAGTGTCTGAGGCTGGATTTGAACTCAGATCATTCTAACTTCAGGTCTACTCCTCTAACCTAGCTGCCTCATTCAATTCACTCCTTCCAATTGCCACTCTGTCCAACTTCAGCAGGCAATAGCATTGCACAATGAATCCCAGAATATTAGAGCAGGAAGGGACCTCAGGCTTTGCCTAAGAGTGGTCCCTTCATTTCAAGGATTAGATACGGGAAGGAACTTGCCAAGGCCACATAGCAAATTGAGAATGAAGTGTAAGGAAGAAGCCACATCATATTTCCATTGTCCTCCAAGTGCTGAATTGGTAGGAAAACTCACGATGAGGAACAAGATCGTAGTTACCAGGCATTGGGGAATGTCCCACTATACGGAGCCCAGGGGATGCTCTTTGAAACTGAAGACACGGATGGCCCAAGAACTGGGTCTGTGCATCCCCAAATCCAGGGAGCTAGATTGCAACCTAAATTGCATCTTCTGCAAGCGTCCTTCTCCATCTGTCTTTCCAGTTGCTACTACCCTCTCTCTCATATTATCTCGCATCTACTCTGCATGTCTCTCCCATTAGAATTCCCTCTTGGAGGGAAGACACTGTGTTTCTGCTGCTCCTAGTATCCCTAGAATAAGCATTTAAATGTCTGTTTCCTGACTGACTGCCTTGTCTTCACACTGCCAGCAGACAACTGGGCTGAGATGCCGAGTGGGCCTGAATCACCCATAATGAGCAGGGCGGCACACAGGCAAGATAGCATCCCTTCCCTTGGGCTACAGAGACAGCAGAACTTTTGGGGGGTTGGACTAAAATCCCTCTCAGATTAAGGCTGGTATAACATAGGGTTCTTTCTGTCGTGAAAGAGGAAGGAGTAGACATCTTCTTGATCAGAACTAAAAATATTGGGTTAAACTCTAGGAAGACAAATTTCAACTTTCCAAAAGGAAAAGCTCACTATTCACAAGGTAGTGAGTTCCCCATCATTGGATTTCTTAAAGCAAAAGCTGGCTGACCATTTGTTAGGAGAGTTGTGTAGGGGCTTCGTGCTTCGGGTTGACTAGGTTAAGATGGGTGACCTTCAGATTCACTTCCAACTCTGAGGTTCTATGCACAGGATTATTTTGGATCTGACCAAGATGAAGGCGGTAGAGGAGCAGGGGGAGAGACATGAAGTCAGAAAGACCTGGGCTCATACCTCGCCTTAGATACTTAATAACTGCGTGACCTTGGGCATTCCATTCAGCCACTCTGTGCCTCAGTTTCCTCACCTGGAAAATGAGTGATTGGACTCAATGGCTCCTAGGATTCCTTCCACCTCTGGACCTATAATTCTAAACAGGTGCTTCTGGTGAGCTTGCTTTATGGTCAGTCCTGAAAATTGGACGAACCTTGAAAACAAAACAAGAGAATTAGAGGCTTTCTACCTTAGATCGCGTGATCCTCAGAGTCCAGATCAATGTCTCCAAATAACAGTTCAATGGTCTTCAGGGCATGTTCTTTGGTAGATGATGCATGCACCGCGTTGTCCAAGATGTCCTTCCCGAAGAGAGCCCGGATAGACTCAGGGGCAACCTTTCTTGCTTCTTCTGGGTCTGTGGGGCCTGCTAACTTTCTCCAGTCCTGCACTGCATTCTCCTTACCTATGATCATGGCCATGCAGGGACCTCTGGAAGTCAAAAGACCATCAAAGGATCACTGTCAAGTGTCCTAAAGGCACCCACACAAAAGATCGCATACACCCTTCACTGATGGTTTTTGGACTGACCTCAACAGGGCAAACCCTAACATCTTTGGCCAGCATCCCATAGTCGTATCTGTCAGGAGTGGGACACGAGCTTTTCTGCCTGAGGACAGCTCCCTAGCTGTGATAATACACTGCCTCACCTATGTTCAAATATTTAAAATGTTCAGACTTAAAATAGAAAGTGTGGACCAGTGGCACTGACAAACAGCTATCATTATCATTATCACATCTCGTTTACATATTCCAATTCATAGATTATTTTGTCCCTTATATTTAAAGGCTTTCTCCTTGTACTCCATCCTACTGGGGAACAAGTCATTCCCCTGATATGGTACATTTCATTCTTTGAAGTCAACTCTGGCAGTGCCTTGTCTGTGAAGCCTTTCCTGCTCCGCCCTGCCTGGGATGGCCATCTGGCACAGGCCTAGCCACATCACCAATGGACTTTTCACAGGATGCTGAGTAGGACTGCCTGACTTTTGGGCTTCACACTGTTCTCCTTCTTCAAAACCACGTCCAAATACTATTTTAAAGGCCCCAAGTCTTATTATTCATAGAAATAGAACATGGAAAAATTCCAGAACCTATTTGTCAACACAACTCTTTTTTCTTGGTAGTCAATTTTTCCGATATACCAATTGGTTTTAGAAAAGAAAACAGTACTTACTCAGTCATGTGGATCAGTAAGTCCTCGAAGAAATCTCTCTCTTCAAGAGCCCTATAAATTTCCTCAACCTTGTCTGCAGTTAGCTGGATTTCCTTCAGGTGGGAAACTACAAACCCATTTTCTTGAATCTTTCTTATGATACCCCCTGGGTGGGAAAACAGACATCTGGTTGGCTTTCAAGCTGCTTTTACTTTCCTGTAATTATTCAGATGGGCTCAAACTGGGGAGAGAGGGAGGGAGCGTAATTCTTGGCTTTACCAACTTTACAAAGTCTGATTGCATGACCCCTTCAGCTGCTTCTTCATCCCCAGCCTCCCTCCAGAGCTCCAGACCTCAATGTCTCCCTGCCTACAGGGTGGAGTGAGAAAGCAAGTGTGCACAGAACGAAGACTTGTGTCCCTGTTATAAGACACAGTAAACAGAGAGAGGAACATCTCTGCATAATCCACTTTATCAGTGGGATGTCTTATTCCCAGATTAGATGAAATACAGAGGAGAGAAATATGTGAAAGCTAGAATGAGGGGGCAGAGAAATTGGATAAGCATGGTTAATATGATAATCAAGACACCAGAATTTGGAAGATTGAAAAGTTATAGATCACTGAATATGGAAGGACCTCAGCAGTCATCTTGTGTATCCCATAACTAAACAAGAATTGTCCCTTTGTTTGTTTTTTGTTTTGGTTTTTTAGGCAATTGGGGTTAAGTGACTTGCCCAGGGTCACACAGCTAGTAAGTGTCAAGTGTTTGGTCTGAGGCTGGATTTGAACTCAGGTCCTCCTGACTTCGGGGCCGGTGCTCTATCCACTGTGCCACCTAGCTGCCCCATGAATTGTCCCTTTGCCATACATGATACCTTGTGGTATGGTGGGTATCCAGCTGTCAACTAAAGCTATCTAGTTAGAGGGAACCCACTGCCTCCTAGGGCAGCCCATTCCCTTTTGGATAATTCAATTTATTGGGGAGATTTTCCTTCGACCTTTTGCTCCTGGCTCTCCCTCATGGCCACATAGAAGAAATTCAAAGGACCACGGAATCCTGACTCCAAAGCCACTGACCTTTCGTCTTCCACATAACAGCTCTTCAAATGGATTTGAAGTGAAGGGATCCAAATCCAAATCATCTCCCTGCCTCCTACCTTGGCAGGTGACTTCCTCTCTGAGCCTTAAGTTTCCTCCTCTGTAGAATGAGGGGGTTGGAGTAAATGGTCTCTGAGGTCCCTACCAGCTTTAAAATCTGTGATTCCATAAAACATATAAACTCCATGAAATGCATGTTCTTCTCTTCTCCTCAGGAAACATTCCTAAATCCTTTAACATCTCCCATGGCAAGACCTCAAGGGCTGTCCCTGTGATAGTTGGACTACGTTGAGCATCTAGGGCTTATCAATGTCCTTCCTAAAATATGGTTCCTAGAGCTGGAAGCATACACCATTGGACCATAGCAGTCAGACGATGAAGCCTGGGTGTCTGTGCAGTCTCTACCACTCACACTCTTGTGACCCCGATGGAAGTCTTAGAGATGTGAAGACTTAACCATGTGGGTGTCAGAGAAGCCCCCACTGAAGGGGCCTGAGAGGTGGCATGGCTCAGGAGAGGCTAGATTCACATGCCCCAACATCCTGGATAGAGAGGAGAGGAGATTTCCTGAGCAGCATCAAGTTGCTGGAGAGGTTCAAGAGTAGGCCTTTGAGAGACAGAGACAGAGATAGAGAAAGAGTATGTTACAGACAGAGACAGAGATAGACAGAAACAGAAAAAGAGGGCAGGGGAGAAGGGAAATGCTTCTGCTTGGTTCCCTCAGAATTCCCTCCTCACACACTTCCAAGAACCACTCCCCACCTCCTTTCTTTATAGGACCAGAACAAAGGAAAGGCTCCCATCCATCCAAGAATAACCTGAGTCAAACAAGACCTGCCCAGGAGATGGGCCTAATCACACATCTCCAACAAGATACTCAGAACAGTGAGTGGGACAAATATCCAGGAGGTTCTCTTAGCCTTTCAAGAAGGTGTTAATTGGTATGGCCATGCAGTCAATGCCCAGAACAAAGGCTCTCTCTCTGTCTGTCTCTGTCTCTCTCTGTCTCTTTTTCTCTCTGTCTCTCCCTGTGTGCATGTCTCTTTTTCTCTGTCTCTCTGTGTCTCTGTCTCTGTCTCTCTGTCTGTCTCTACCTCACTCTGTCTCTGTCTCTGTCTTTTTCTCTCTGTCTCTGTGTGTGTCTCTTTTTCTCTCTGTCTCTGTGTCTCTGTCTCTATCTTTCTCTGTCTCTATCTCTGTATCTTTTTCTCTGTCTCTGTCTCTTTTTCTCTGTCTCTCTATCTCTGTCTCTGTCTCTTTTGCTCTCTCTCTCTCTCTCTCTTTGCAACTTTACTGAAGAAAAATTAATCAATTACTGGCAGAACTTTTACTTGATCACTCACCCATTGACAACTTGGATCATTTATTCACTGCTCTATTAAACAGTGTATTAGAAGATACATTAACTAATAACTCCAAGACTCCTAACAAAATTTAACTGAAAATTACAAAAGGTTCAAGACCCTATTTTGGAATACAAGGGGTGTTTGACTTCCAATTTCCATTCCCTGTAGAATAAGAACAGGTCATTCCTTTATGGACATGCAGAAAATACATCAAGTTTTCTGTTCTGCTGGTGCTATAAATTCTCCAACCACATCAGTTACAAACATAAAGGATATCATGAAACCTCGAATCTCTAGCAATGGAAGGCTTAAACAAGGTGGATGCTGCTAGTGTACTGTCACTTCCTTTCATATGACAATTGTGCATCTATCTCCCTCCCCCTCAGATGGTTTCTTCTGCATCTAGCAAGGAATGTTTTTAGTCCCATGATCAAGTTAGAGCAAAGACGTTGGCCACATATACACATATACACATGCTCCATTTTAAAAAAAAAAATTCTGGATCTGAGGCAATTGCTCTCTTATAACTACTTTACAGTTTCTAAAAGCAGTTATTGTCCAAAGTAGGAAGGACCTAAGTCTTCTCAAATGAGCATGTGTCTTAATGGAGGGAAGTAAATAAAAAATGAGAAGCAGATACCATAGAGCTATGGCTGGAAGCCCTGAAGCCCCACTCTCCAGCATGGTGACTCCCCTACTCTCTCACATGGTGACTCCCTAGCCCTGTGCACCATTTCAGGGGCTTCAGCAAGGCTCCCTTCATTCCCTTTTCAACCCACTCCCTGGACTTCTCTGCCTCCTCACTCAACAGCCTTGATCACGTTCTGTACCCCCACAAGCCCTACTTTCTGGTTCCCTTTTATGCATTGTCCTCCTCCATTAGAATATAAACTGCATGAGGCCAGGGACTGTCTTGTATTTATATCTCTAATGCTTAGCGTAATGCCTGGCACATACCAAGTGCTTAATAAATGCTCTAGCTGACTGTCAGATGCCATCTATACTACCCCTCTCATTTTACAGTTGAGGGAACTGAGGCCTAGGAAGATTAAGTGATTTGCCCACAGTCAAATAGCTAGCAAGCATTAGAGGTGGATTTTAAACTCAGGTGGGATCCCCATCCACTCCTTATCCTCAGCCCAATAATTTACATTTAAACACAGAAAGTTTAGACCTCCACTGGGTAGGGGAACTTCATATTTTCCATCACTTGGGGGGTAGGGAATGTGTGTGTGACATACATCAAAAGCATTCTTAAAAATTAAGGTGTTGCTAAGGGATAATGACTTAAAACATGAAACAATTTAAGGGGGGGGCTTCATCTAATGAGACTCATATCAGTAAAAGAGAATCAGAAAATCCAGTAAATTTGACCTGTGTATTTAAATGCTCACCCCTCAGATCTTGGAAGGCATGAGGCCTGATCAATACCACAGTATGTTCATAAGGAAAGCAGAAGAGAATTTCTTCATTTAAGTCCTGTAGGGAATCCTTTCCATGAATTTGGTTGAAACGACAATTTTCTGGGCCAAGAGTATCCCTCAAACTTTTAAAAAGGAGAAAAGTTTTAAAAGTCCAACTCTGTAAAGTCCCCTTGAGCTCTCATCAATATTGAGAAACTGACACTCTCTTTGTAATCAGGCTTTGGGGCCAGAAAGACCTTCACATTGGGGCAAATGAGCAGTGGGATAAAGCGGATGCACTTGGGTTCACCAACCTAAACTTCACCAGTGGGAGGTGGGGGGATGGGGCCACAAAGCCATGCTTCTGAAAACCAGCTGGGAGTGGATCTGGGTGGAGAGGGGGTCAGGCTAACTAGATCAGGCCCTGCTTAACACAATCATTTGGGGTAGATCTTTGTCAAAATGATAAATACTTCTTGTGGTCCTTCCCCTCTGAATAGCTCAGGGCCAGGAATGAGGGATACAAAATGGGCCTCAGACACACTCCTCCATCTTGAGATGATTCCATAATATCTCTGGAGATGGTATATTGCCAATTCTAAAACTTACTGGTATCTCTTGTTTTTACGTCACCTTCATTTCCAAGGTGAGAGCCGTTAATCAGAAAAGAAAAATACAGAATAAAGAAATAGGTAGAAAATAAAAGTTCAGCAGAACTGACTAATTCATCAATCAAATCTAGCAGTCTATGCCATGCTCCAGACCCATCACTCCCCATCTCTGCAGAGAGAAGGGGCATTGATGTTTTCCTCTGTCTTCTTTGAAACCAAGGTGGAACATTTTAATTACTCAGGACTCCATTTCAATTGTTATGTTTGATACTTTCCCTTCCTTCCCTGATATTCTAGAAATGGTTGGAGACCTCTGCTAGGAAGTACCTGGTAGGGTTTTCATCAGTAGCCGTTGGGCCCAGTATATATCGCCAGTAGAACACAGCATTTATTCGTTCTAAACAAAGTGCCAGAATTGGAGCACTGGGAAAAAATAAAGGTAGGGAGAAAGGGGAATAGTTATGTACTGAAAAGAAAATCCAACTCATAAAATACGTGTGCTGTAGTTAATTGTACATGTGTGTTTCAGTGTGGAGAAGGAGGAAGGGTGGGGGAGTGACACAGAGACAGAAACAGCCAGACACAGAAATCAGATACTGTGAATAAATAGTGGACCTCAAAGCCAAGAAGACCTGGGGCCAAGCTCTGCCTCTGACACATCTTATCTGTGTGGCTCTGGACAAGTCACTTAACTTCCCAATGATAGAGGCAACTCTGAGACCCTAAATTGCAGAGAAGATGCCAAACCCTAATGGTGGAAGGAGTTTCCTCATCTGTGAGTTCTCTATACAATGAAATCCCAGACCAAGACCCCATCACTATTCTCATTCATTCATTTACTCAATAAACACTGACTTTGTGCAAAGTACCAATGAGGTAAAGGGGGAAATATAAAGATAGCTAGGGCACAGGCCCTACCCTCAAGGAACTTTGAACCCCTCTGCATGTACAAGTAATCCCATGACATCCCATCTTCTTCAGCAGAGTGTCCCCTGCTCTCTTCCCTCCTCTCTCATTTAACTCCAGGAGCTCCCTATTGACCAACTGCTTTCCTGATGTCAGAACCATGTCCATATCTCCTCCATCCTCAAAAAGCCCTCAGTAGATCCTTTCTTCCTTGCTAGCTATCATTCCATGACTCTCTTCCCTTTCTGTGGGTAAACTCCTTGAGAAATCCATCTACACTAGGTGATCCACTTCCTTTCCTCCCAGTCTCTTAACACTCCATGTTTGGGCTTCTGAGCTCATCATTCAACTGAAACTGCTCTCTCCAAAGTTACTAATGATCTCTTAATTGCCAAATCTAATGGCCTTTTCTCAATCATCATCCTTCTTGACTTTTCTGCAGCCTCTGACACTGTATTCTGTTTGGCTTTCAAAGCCTTTCCTAGGGGCAGCTAGGTAGTGCAGTGAATAGAGCACCAGCCCTGGACTCAGGAGGACCTAAGTTCAAATCCGGCCTCAGACACTTGACACTCACTAGCTGTGTGACGCTGGGCAAGTCACTTAACCCCAATTGCCTCAAAAAAAAAAAAAGACCCAAACATTTGGTTTACAAAACTTTTCCTAACCTGGCCCCTTCCTACCTTTCCAATCTTCTTACTGTATGGTCCAGCGACATTGACTGCCTTGCTGTTCACTCAAGACAAGGTATGTCCCAACCCCCAGCATTCTCATAGTTTGTCCCCTTTGCCTGGAATTCTCTTCCTCTTTGCTTCCCTGTCTTTCTTCAAGCCTCAGTTAGAGGCCTACCCTTCCCAGTCTTCCTTAATCTTACTGCCTCCCTTCTGTTCAGCATATCCAATTTATCCTGCCTATGTCTTGTTTCCACACAACTGTTTGCATGTTGTCTACCCCAGTAGACTGGGAGCTCCTTGAGGGCAGGGACAGCTATGGGAGGTTTGCTTTTATTTGTATCCCCAATGCCTAGCAAGGGCCAGGCACTTAATAAATGTTTGTTGACTGATTGACTGAAGCTGGTAGAAGGAGAAGGCCTGTGCACAGATAAATGGGATACAAATTCGAGTTTGATCACTTCAGAAAAGGAGTGAAACAGTACAGCAAGGTCAGAAGAGGGAGAGAGTCACTAAGGAGTTGGGCTGGGTTTCATGGAGAAGGTGAAATTGGAGCTTGAAGGAGGCTAATGGACAGAGATGAGGAAGGAGTGAATGAATGAATGAATCAGTATTTATTGGGTGGTAGAGCAATATAACACAAGTGCAGTATATTATTGACTAAGCCAGAAAGCATTTCAGAAACAGTTAAACTGGACATAGACTTGAAAAAATCTCCAGTTGATACTTAATATAAAATACCTATTACTGAATTATTAAATCATTGAGATTCCCAATTTTATGAATTCACTGGGGAACCTAAAGGTTTGCACAAATTCCAAAATTTCACTAAAAATCAAGAACTCATCAGCTCCTGACCAGGGTAAAGAGAGCCAATAGTTCTTGGGCAAATCCTTTGGAATTCCCCAATTGTACACTTGTATGTATTGTGTGATCCCAGGAAGGCCACTTTACTCCTCCGCACCTCCATCTCCTCATCTATAAATTGGAACTGACGACACGTGTAATACCTCCTTCACAGGGCTCTTGTGAGGGCAGTGCTTCGCAAACACCGAAACACAACAAAAGTGGGAATTGTTGTTGTTGTTACGAGAATTCCTCAAATGTGGATGGCTTAATGACAAAACAGAATTTTTCCACATCTCTCTAATGTCAATTGTCCCTATCTCTAAGCAAAAAACAAACAGACAAAAACCCTTTAGCTCAGAAAGACATTTCACACTAGTATATACCCTGAATTTTTTAAAAATAGCTTTCCTTGGCAAGTGAGAGGAAATAAAGGTGATGGCCGCTTTTTCACTAGAAATATTCTCCCTTTGAATACCCCATTCTCCTTAGAACCAGAAAAATGGTCTAATTTTGGCTAAGCTGATTTTGTATATGGTGCCACGATGCCTATGCCCAGCATTTATAAAGTGCTTTATGACTTACCGTGAATAGGGAATTATCTGACCATGGCAGCCCATGAGTGCCAGGAGCTCCATCTACAGTGGGGAGCACCATCTACAGTGGGGATTCCTTTCATATATGACTTAGATTAAACTTCCAACTCTCAAATCCTAGAATTCTGGGGCCTTGCTTCAAATCCTGCTTCTACATCTGTAGAACTTTCTGCAGCCAGTGTGAACTTGGATACGTTATTTGACATCTCCAGGACTCAGTTTACTTAAGTGTAAAATAAGAGGACTGGTCTAGATGGCCCCTAAGGTCCATGCCAGCTCTAGATGTAGGATCCTATAAATTGATATGATCTCAGAGAAACTAAACTTTTTAGGCTCCTTACACTTTATCCCTCCTCCACCCACTCCAGTGAGATGGAAAACAACTACACACACACACACACACACACACACACACACATACACACACACACACACATACACACACACATGCACACACATGCACACACACAGACACACACACACACAAGTCAAGTTCAGCTTCCCCAGAAAGCAGACTTCAAGGAAAGCCTGGTGGGAGTGACTTCTTTCCCTGTGTCTCTGGGGCACATTAACTGGAGGAGGGAGTCTTCTTTTTCGTCCCCATCTCTCTCCCATCGGCTATGTCCTATGGGACTAGCCATCACTATTGGTCATATTTTGTAAGCTGGCTCTCTTCAGTTTAGTCCCAAAAGGTCCTTAGTTGGAATTAGAGTGTTCATAGCCAGGTAAGCCCTGAGAGGGTTGAAATTTTACCTGGGCAAGGACCCTGCAATTCCAGTGTGGGGAGTCTGGCTGCCCTGGGGACTAGCGGGTCACGTGTAGTTTTATGAATGATGTTATTACTCAACCAAGCAGAACCCTCCAACTTGAACTCAGAGGTCACTTTGATTTCCCTTGGAAGAATGATTGCTTCGAGCATGGTGGGCTGAGGGTGTGACCACATATCCTTGAGGCTAAACTCCTCGGAAGAGATGGAAAGTGGGTAAAGAACAGACCTCCAAGCTCGAAAATGACAGCTGGTGTTAGAAAGGGAGAGTTGGTGGAGGGGCGCATTTACCTACAGTTGTCTTTTTCTTTGCATTGGGAGTTATCACCCCAATCCTTGGTTTCTTTGGCTTCTTTGAAGACAGACTGCTGGTAGTATTTTATAAGCATTTGGTTTACCAGTATTATAAAGGTTTTCATTTTGATCTTGACTTTTTCTTTAGCTCCTCAGAATTTTCATTTTAATATTTCATCAATTCATCTTTCTTTTAGAGTTTGACCTAAATTTGGCCCAATACTGAATACTTTTAAAAATATTCTTGTATGTTGAGTTTGGTTTAATTCAATTTTTAACTCTTTTAGATTTTCCTTTCTTTTCTTTGGAGTTTTCATGTGCAATTTCCTTTTGATGCTGAGTTTCATTTCTAGCAGTGATACTTTACTTTCTTCTCCTTTGCTGATATTGGATTAGGATTTTTTTTGTTGTTATGAATTCTGTTGTCTTGTGTTTACTTTCCTTTTGTTTTGGCATTGTTTCAGTTTTCTTTTGGAATTGGTTTTCGAATTTTATTTATGAATTAAATGCAATGAGCTGAACATTGGGCTAATTGAGCGCTTACGATGTTTATGTTTGTTGCTTGACAATGCCGATGAGCACGGCAGCTGTTTTACGACCACCATTTCATCCTGTTTATTTAAATGTCCTCCTGGCTGCTAATTTGCATTGTTGTAGTTCAACCAATTGTTCAGTTAATTGTTCTATTACTCTTAGTAACTAGGGAAATACTGGCATTGTGGGCCAACACCGTGAAGATATGAATCTGGTATTTAGAAGATACTGTCAACTGTAGAAGCTAATAATCAGAGATAATTGATATGCGGAACAGGGCCTGTTTATAGGAAAGAGGATGCTATGATCCCTGAAGATTTCTAGAAAAGTGTATCCACATGTACTTGATAGCATATGGATTGCCTTCTCAGTGGGTAAGGGAGGGAGACAATTGAGGACTTAAAATCTATAAAAATGAACGTTAAAACAAAATATAAAAGGATATATGGGAACATGGTCAGAAGAATCCATTATGAATATGCTGTGTGATTTACCACACCTACTTGACTATTCACAACTCCTTGAAAACATTCATTTAGGGGACAATGCCTGAGAGTTGGTGCAAAATCTTTCATCTGAGGGGGAGGAGTTATGTGACTCACTTACAGTGTTAAGGAGGGAAGATACAACACAAAATCCACACAGAACTGAGTTTTGAGCTTGTAATATATTCACATTTTTCACACATAAAGAATACTAAAGCTAAGCCAATGTTCATATGGGAGTGTATATTCATCCAAGGCTATTGCCTCTACCTCCATGTACACATGGATATCTCCCCTGAACTAACAGCAGCATAGTGTCCAAAACTAGGTTCACTGGGTTAGTGAGAGACAGATCATCAGTGCTTCATAGAAGGGGGCCAATTTCCATAAGTCATGTGTGGAAATCTCATCTGAATGTAAGATGGGCCAAAGATCTCCAGTCTACGTCGGGTGTGAAATCCATGCGTGGTGGCCAATGTAGGACTGGATGGGTCCTGGCACAGAGGACAATGTTAGCAACTTTCTCAGGAGAGGATTTTTGCCCTCCTGGGGAACAAGCATATGAGACATGGTTGTATAGGTACCAATGAAGTATACAATCGGAAAGTCTCCGCTCTGGGCCGGGCCTGACTCAGACCAGTCCCCTGGTAGTTTTGGTTCAACAATTGGGACAAAATGAGGCTCTTGTAGGACATGCAGCAGTTAAGAAAAGGAGATACATGGGGCCCTAGGAGGAAACCCAACAAAGGCAGGTACTGAGGTACCCTGGACTTGATTCTGCTAAGGAAACTTCCTTCCTTGAGCAGCACATTCTGCTCAGCCAGCTGAGCAGTGAAGGGCACCTGGAGCTCATCACTCCTGTTTTGTGCTCAGGTGACCAGGAAGTGACATCCACAGGCTGAACTTTGAGTGCCCTGAGCCAACCAAGTCTTCAGGATGGTCTCAAAACCTTTCATGAGGCATAGGAGTTTGGGGAAAGGTGACTGCTGCTCTTAGCCCAGACTCTGACAATGAAGAATGGTAGGTTGATGGAGAGACTCAGCATTAAAACTTGTGGATTTATGAGAAGCTTGATTAGTGCCAACCCAGAGGTGACATGGAGAACTTGTTTGCCAAACCTCACAAAGCCCTTGGAGTGGTAAAACACCAAGGCAAACTTGCTCTGCATTTTGAGGCATCTACCTTTCAGCACAGAGGAGGAAAGCCAGCTGACTTAATTCATGTGAACACCAGAGGTTGGTGGTGATGGGGCAATAATGCCTGAAGAAGAGAGTAAGGTCATGCTTGCACACACACACACACACACACACACACACACACACACACACACACACTGTCCTGGGGCAAAATCAGAGGGACATCCCTGCTTTCTGCTACAGTCACGGAGAAGATGGCCACATGCAAACCAAATGTAGTTGAAAAGAGCAGATGACTCCAGCGCTGCAGAAACTGGCGATGGCCCAATCGAGGACCAGCTTCAGGAGAAAGGACAGGAAGCCGGGAAGACGGCTGCCTTAGTTCTCACTATGGCCCCACTACGAGTTCCTTTTCACTTGGACTCGTGCAATCGTGTACAGACGTGATGGCGGAGACTGAAAATGTGAACTGCACTGTCATCCAAGAGTCCGTTATGTTTCGATCACTCCATGAGAAACGTTTGAGGAAAATAACTAGAGTGAACACGACTGCTTGGATAGGAAGCAGACGACCCAGTGCCCATATACTCACTCTAGCACAAGCCCGGAGGTCACCCTGGATGAAATAACGATCCAGAAATCTAACAAAGAACTGCGGCAAGTGACTTCAGCCACCACAGAACCGAACGGAATCATCAGCAAGACAATGAAACATGTCCCACATATCCTGACAAGGAGGTGACAGACACAAGGATCAGAGACGCGCGTTTTTGGACACGACAGCATAAGGATTCATTTTGCTTGTCTTTGATTCCTGTGAGAGCTGGGATTTGTTTTTGGTTTTTTGCTTTCTCTCTCTGCTTTTTAACCAGGGAGGTACTAAGAGGAAGAGAAGATTCTCAATAGTGAGGCCAAAAAACTAGGTCATTGTAACATTCTTTAATGCTCAAAACAGAAGGGAATTCATAAGGAAGCACGCCCAAGAAAGAAAGTTTAGACGTAGCATGTAAAATGTGTTTTATGTATACACATGTATGTACATATATTCACACATATGCACACATACATATACACATATTTTAAAAACAAACAGTATGAAATGGAGATTCATGCTAATATAGACTCCTCTTTTTTGTATTCTGCTTTGTGTGTGAAGATGCTATTTTCTTGACATTTAATTTCAGAATTTTAAAAAATGTGTATTATAAAGAAAATGCCTGTAGAGTCTACTGTGTAGGCATATTTGAGGTGCATTGAATTGATAGAATTTCCCAAAAATATTGCTGGTGTCCATTAAGCAATGGACAGCTTACTATTTTCTCTGGGCTCTGTGGGATTCTGTGTTCTATTTTGTCCAGTTTTATGTTACAAACAGGTTTTTGAGTTGCTTCCTTCTTCCTTGAGATCAACATTCTGTCATGATTTCTAACTTTGCCTGTAATGCTAAGCTAGAGACAACCCCTTACTTAGACTACTCTGGACGAGGTAGAGAAGCCATCATTGGATGGCAGAAATCCAGAGCTGTCTCTGACATCGCCGCGGCAGCCTGAGAGAACACCTTCATACACTGACGTGACTGCATAAACTTTTCATCCCAAGAGAGCTGACCCTAAACATAACTCAGAAGCTCTTTATTCCCCCTTCTTTTGACAGTTCTAACAGTCTTTTCTATTTAAATAAGGACAGAGTGGGGATCTGTAATTTGATGTGAACTCTTAGAGGAGCACAATGCCTCTGCCATTTCAAGTTGGCCCCTTCTCTGAAACTTAGAGTTGTGGGGCATTGCCTAGAATATTGAGAAGTTCTGTGATTTGCCCAAGGTTGCAGAGCCAGGTTCCCATAGGCAGGCTTTGCATCTTGCTCTTCCTGGCTTTGAGATCACGTCTTTACAAAGGTAAATACCCTTTTTAAAAAAATGTAGTTAACAGATTTTGGTCATCTGCCAATATTTCTAAATTTTCCTGAAAATAATAACTGATTTTCATGGCACTCATTTGCGTAATTCAATGGTATTGAATTAACTACTAATCATTATCATTAGATATTCGCATTCCTCTTTAAAATTTGTAAAGCATTTTATATTCATTATCTCATGTGATCCCAGATAAATCTTATTAGAAAAATACAAATGATATTATTATTCCCATTTTAGAGATAAGAAAATGGAGGCTCAAAAAAGTTATATGACTTGTCTATGGTCACACAACCCACACATGTCAAAGACAAGATTCCAATCCAGTTCTTACCCTACTGCCCCTCCAGGGCCCTCCTAACATACTATGTGACTCTTAGAGAGGGACAGCCTATGTCTTGCAGTTAAGAAATAGCATACGATACTCACCATATTCAAGGGGTTGCAGGCTCCAAATAGGGCTGCTCCCCAGGATTTGGGAGCAAGATTAGAAAACATCACCCTCTGAAACTGAAGCTAGCACAAATCAACATAAATGAATGCAATTCCCATTTCCAATTTCAAGTCAGGGAAAAAAAAAGAGTGCAAATCTTAGCCCTGACATTTACTAGTTGTGTGACCATGGGAAAGTCATGGCATCATAGACTTTGAGCTGGAAGTGATTTTATTGGTTATGGCACCCAACGTCTTTATTGCACATATGGAGAAGTTGAAGCCCAGAGAGGTTAGGTGACTATCTCAGGTGCACAGCTACTAAACAGCTGAGTCAGGTCTTCCTGAGTTCAAATCCAGCCACACCACTCCTTAACCTCCATTAATCTCGGTTTTCTCATTTGTAAAATGGAGACAGTAGTGCTCGCAATAAATTCATCCCTCCCCCTCTCAGGATTATATAAATGAATTGTTGTGGAGAAATCTGGAGAAATAAATGCCCTAAGAGGTAGCCAGAGTCTTGTAGTGATGCCCAGAGACTCACATCATCAGCTGGTCTCTCCCACTCTGGAATGACATTTCTCAGTGATGTTAATGACTCCCTCAAAGCACTACCGTACCTGCTCACATGTTCAATCAGAGCTGGGAAATGGTCGTAATACTTGTGTTGTTTGTAGAACGTTTTGGCATCTTCCTCGGTCAAGATCAACTGTTTTTGCATTTTTGCCACAAAGCCTTCCTTCTGGAGGAGCTCTAGGACAGACTCTTAAGAAGAAAAAGAAAACTGTGAGCACCCTGTGACCATCTGCTCAGGGACTCATGGGTGGACCGCCCTGCAGAGGGAGGCCTGGTTCTTACAGACAAACAGGCACCAGTTGGTGCCAGTGGTAGTCTGTTGGCCAAACAAGCCTCACTGTTGTTCCCAAGGGAAATTGGAGGTCTTCAGCCAGGGAAAGCTCTTCTAAATAGAGCCACAGGACCTCCCATTGGTCCTCCACTGATACCAACTACTCTTCAGTTCAAGCCAACAAGCATTCTTTGATTGTCTACCATGGGACAGGCACTGTGCTGGGTGCTAGGTGCTAGGGAGACAAAGACAAAACCAGAATCAGTCTTGCCCTCAGGGAGCTTGTATTTCTTGTCTTAACTCACTTTTAAATTTCTTAAATTTATTTTTTAAAGTGTTTATTATCTCCCCCTCCTGGTCTGTCCCCCACAGAATAATTATTTTAAAACCCAAAAAACAAAACCTTCTTAATAAATACACATGGAACCCAGGAACTATATGAACACAATTATAAAACACTTTTCACACAAATAAAGTCAGATCTAAATACTGGGAAAGCATCAGTTGCTCATGGGTAGGCTGAGCTAATATAATAAAAATGACAATTCTACCTAATTTACTTATTCAGTGCCGTACTAATCAAATTACCAAAAAATTATTTTGTAGAGCTAGAAAAAATAACAACAAGATTCATTTGAAAGAACAGAAGGTCCAGAATACCAAGGGAACTAATGAAAAGAAATGCAAGAGAAGGTGGCCTAGCCATTCTAGATCTTAAATTGTATTATAAAGCAGCAATCATCAAAACTACTTGGTACTGGCTAAGAAATAGAGTGATGGATCGATGGAATAGGTTAGGTACACAAGACACAGTGGTCAATGACTATAGTAATGTACTATTTGATAAACCCAAAGACCCCAGCTTCTGGGATAAGAACTCACTATTTGACAAAAACTGCTGGGAAAACTGAAAAAAAAAGCAGAAACTAGGCATAGAGCCACATCTCACACCCTGTACCAAGATAAGGTCAAAATGGGTCCACAATTTAGATATAAAGGCTGATTAAGCAAACTGGGAGAGCAAGGAATAGTTCATCTGTCAGATTTATGGGGAACAGAAGAATTTATGACCAAACAAGAAATAGAGAACATTTTGAAATGCAAGATGGTTAATTTTGATTACATTAAATTGAAAAGTTTATGCACAAGCAAAGCCAATGCAAGCAAGATTAGGAGGTAAACAGAAAACTAGGAAAGAATTTTTACAACCAGTGTTTCTGATAAGGGCCTCATTTCTAAAATATATAGAGAACTAAGTCAAATTTATAAGACCACTCCCCAACTGATAAACAGTCAAAGCATATGAACAGGAAGATCTCAGATGAAGAAATTAAAGCTATCTATAGTCACATGAAAAAATGCTCTAAATCACTACTGATTAGAGAAATGCAAATCAAAACAACTCCGAGGTACCACATCACACCTATCAGATTGGCCAAGATGACAAAACAGGAAAATGATAAATGTTGGAGAAGATGTGGGAAAATTGGAACACTAATGCATTGTTGGTGGAGTTGTGAACTGATCCAACCATAGAGCAATTTGGAACTATGCCCAAAGGGCTATAAAAATGTGTATACCCTTTGACCCAGCAATAGCACTTCTAGGGCCGTATCCCAAAGAGATCATACGAATGGGAAAAGGACTCACGTGTACAAAAATATTTATAACAACTCTTTCTGTGGTGGCAAAGAATTGGAGATTGAGGGGATGCCCATCAATTGGGAAATGGCTGAACAAGTTGTGGTGTATGAATGTAATGGAATACTATTGTGCTGTAGGAAATGATAAGTAGGTGAACTTCAGAAAAGCCTGGAAAGACTTGTTATGGACTGATGCTGAGTGAATTGAGCGGAACCAGGAGAACATTGTACACAGTAACAGCCACGTTGTGTGATGACTAACTTTGATAGACTCAGCTCTTCTCAGCAATGCAAGGATCTAAGACATCTCCAAAAGTCTCATGATGGAAAATGCTATCCACATCCAGAGAAAGAACTATGGAGTTTGAATGCAGATCGAAGCATACTATTTGCTCTTTTTTTTCTTCTGTTTTGTTTTGTTTCTTCTTTCTTGTGGTTCCTCCTATTCATTCTAATTCTTCTTTACAACATGAATAATGTGAAAATATATTTAATAGGAATGGTAGGTATATGGAATATAGGTGGAGCCTATATCATATTGCACACCATCTTGGGGAGGGAGGTGGGGAGGGAGGGGGAGAAAATTTAAAATTCAAAAGCTTACGGAAGTGATTGTTGACAACCAAAAATTAATTAATTAATTAATTGATTAATTAGCATTTTAAAAAATAAATAAATACACATAGAAAAAGCTTCCATTCTACACTAAGAAAATGTACCCAGATAATGTGACTGGTTGTGTGGACTTGGTGTCAGTTATACCCATCCACAATCTACCTCCTGCTATGCTTTCTGCATCTTCAGAGAGAACAGCTACCATATAACTGAACAACTAATTAATTAATTATTTAATCAGCTACTCTGTGTGTGTGTGTTCCCCATCAGGTGGCGCTAGCCAACAACGCATTTGAATGGACTTTACTAATGGTTGCAGTATCCTTCAGTGTTCCCAGATGGCGCTCTGACAGACCACGAGAAATCCACTTTCCTCCGTCCCTTTTCCTGGTCTGTGCATATTCACAGGGATGCCGCAGAATACACCCAGAAATGACCAGATACGCTTTCATTTTCACTCTCAAGCTCCTGAACCCTTTCTTTTAGGGGCCTCCCCTTCTAACTCACAATTGACTGACCTCAAGGAAAGGAGGAAGAAGTAAAAACCGAAAGGAATCTTGGAAGAGGTGGGGCTTAATCTGAGATTTCAAGAGACAGAAGTAGGGATGGAAAGCCTTGCAGGCATGGACAACCGCCTTTATGCAAAGGCAAAAAAGTGGGAGGTGTCACAGATGGGGAATAGTGAATAGTCCACCTTGGATTGAATAGAGAGAATGTAAAGGAAAAGAACATGAAATCAGTCTGGAAAAATAGGTTGGAATCAAATAACTTTAATAGGGTTCTAACGTCCAAGATAGATAACTATCAAAATTACATAAGGCCAAAAGCCATTCCCCAATAGATGAGGGCTCAAAGGACATGAACAAAGTTACCAAAGAAGTGGTGAAAAGTATTAACAGCTATATGAAAAATTACCCTCCTTCACTAGTATTAAGGGAAATTCAAAACATAACAACTCTGAGATTTCATCTCACACCGAGAAAATCGTCAAAGATGACGAAAGATGAGACTAGTCAATGCTGGAGGGAACGTGAAAAGACAGGCACGTTAATGCACTGTTGGGAGAATTGTAATTTAGTGCAATCATTCTAGAAAGCACTTTGAATTTTTATGAAGAAAGTGACTAAAACGTCCATACATTTTGACCTAGGAATTCCACTGCTAAGTATATACTCCCAAGAACTCAAAAACAAAAAGGAAAGCCCCATAAACACCCAAATATTTATGGCTATACTTTTTTGTAGTGTCAAAAACTGGAAACCAAATTGATGCCCATCAGTTGGACTGAATAATAGATGGTTGCTACGCTGTAAGAAATGATGACTACAGAGCAGCAGGGAAAGGCTTGTAGGAACTCAGTCAGAGCAGAACTCAAACAATTTACACAATGACTGTAACAATGAAAGTGGAAAGACCAGCAAGAAAATCAGAACTGAATTCTGTCTGATTGTAATGAACAAGTTTGGACTCAAAACAAAAGAGATAGGGAACTCCCTCCCACTTCTTTACAAATGTTGAGGACTGTGGGTGTGGAATACTATATAAATGGTGGAACTTTTTTGATACATTGGTTAGTTCTGCTGAGCTGTTTTCTTTTCCTCCTTTCAAAATCTGTTATAAGATTATATGAAGATGAAAGATGACAATAAAAATTTATTTTTAATAAAAGATAGGTTGGAACTAGACCGTGAAGAGCTTAAATACCAAATAGAGATTTTATTTCATCCTAAGCGTCATTGGAAGCCATGGAAGATGCTTGAGCAGGAAAGTGATGTGGTCAGACTTGTGCTTTAGGAATATCAGTTCGGTAGTTATATGAAGGCTGGACTGCAACAAGGAGAGTCTGGAGCCAGTCAGTGAGGTAGCCCAGGAGATGAAAGACTAAATTAGGGGCTAGTCATGTAAATGGAGTGAAGGGGAGGATGTGACATATAGAGGGCAGGTGAAATTGATAAGACTTGGCAAAAGATTACAGGGCATGAGGGTGGGGAAAGAGTTAGGCATGACTTTCAGGCTGGGAACCTGGGCGATGGGGAGGATGGTGGTGCACTCAACAGAAAGAGAGAAATTAGAAGTCTGGGGGAGGTTTAGGGGAAAGATAATGATTGTTGAGTTTTGGACATGTTGAGTTTGAGACGTTTATGGGACATCCAGGTGGAGAAATGAAGCAGGTGATGCGGAAGCGTAGCTCAGGAGAGAGACTAGGGCTGGATATGTTGATTTGGGAGTCAACTCCATAGACTTGATAAACCCTGAAAGCTAAGGATATCAGCGAGAAAATGAATGAATGAGTGAAAAGGCAGTTATTAAGCACTTACTCTGGGCAAATCACTGGAGACATAAAAGGAAGACAAGTTTCTGCTCTCAAGCAGTGAACCTTCTAATGGAGGGTGAGGGCGGGGGAAGACCACACACACATAGAGAACACAGTTTTAACTGCAAGGTGGGTGGAAAGGTCCCATGGTCCTTAGGGTGCAGTAGCAAAGCATGTGGCTCTGTTTCTTCTTTCATGTCATTTCCAGTGATAAAATTACATTACATTGGTTTGTACACTACATTTGGAGTCATTTGGTAGTGCCAGGGATTCTAATGGTGAGAAGTTTCTTTTATGGGTTTCCTGTTACCATGGGCTGTAACATCCACAGGAACACTTAGTAACCAGGCTGCATCTGCACAGGAGTTGGTGGTCTGGGGGCCACTGCTATTCTCAAGGCCCCAAGCTCAGCGTACTGGGATATCTTCACTGGAGTCTGAGGGGATATTGTGGTCAAGGAAATGGTGATGGTTGACTTGCCTGGGACACGCTACCTCCCTCAGGGTGCTTTGCTGCCTTGTTCTGGAGTACAATATACATACACAGAGAGGGTACAAACTTCTTTCTGGTGTCATCTACCAATTATCTTGGGACAACATAACTTAGTTGGCTTTCATACCAATTCCACTGCAGACTCACTTTCCCCTCAGCTGCTTTTTACTGCTATGCAAGGCAATGCTGTTTATCAGTTTCCATCCTCCTTGGTATTCTTGTAAGTGAGATTATACACTCAACCAATGTTGTTCTCGGAGGCCAGTGCCTCTGAAGAGGGTGGTTTCTTGCTGAGTTTTCCAGCCTCCTTTGGCCTACTTAGTGTGGGATCTTCTTTACATCAAGATGTAGTCCAGCTGTAACTGTGTGCTGACTGAGGCAAGGTGCAGTTTTTGAACTGATGGACTCTAGAAGGATCTGAAAATTTAACCAAAGGCCATCCAGGTTTCAGACATCCCTTCACTGATGGCTTGTTCTTTGGAAGCAAAGGATGCACACAGACTCAAACGTGTTATCTCTGCCTGCAGCCACTCCTGCTGGGGATCCAGCCTTCCCCAAACCTAAAATCCATAGATGTGACCTGAGCCTCAGACAACCAGGGATGGATTTGCCTAGGTGTCTTTCAGGATCTAAGCCCCAAGGCTGGTTTAGCCAGGTCAGATTGGAACTATTGTTATCTCACACTGTTTTCTTATCTTTATTCTTTATGAATTTAATCTTTGATGCTCTGACTACACACAAAGAACTGACTCTATAATGATTCCCACATCAGGAAGTTTTCCATTTGTTAAAAGAAAGTCAATTTTGTTTTGTCAGTGATTTATTCTGAGTTCACCATATCCAGAGGCTTCTGGCTCTCCTCCGGAAGAAGATCCCGAGTTTTACGAGCGGGCTTTCTGCTTTTACCACCTTTCATGTCTTGATTCCAAACTACTGGGCTCAACGTGTCTGTCACTGTCATTCCAACTGAAGCCACTGATTATCAGGCTACTGCTAACTTATCTGAGAGGGTTTTATCTAGTTCCCTAGGTGATTTTCTCCTACTCATCCTCAGCAACAGATGTTGGTGCATAAACTGCAATGATCTTTTTTCTAGAAAAAAAAATTATATTGCTTTCTTTTGTTGTTACAATACCTAACTTCCTCACACATATATCCTTCTGGCTCCTCTACCCAGGAAGTCACCCTTTGTAATAAATAAAAAAAAAAAAAAAAAGAGTAAGAAAGAGGGAAAAAAGGAACAACTCAACAAAGCCAGACAATGTGCCCATCAAAGCCAGCAGAGCCTGCTGTTCTCTTTCTTCCCTGCTGGTGCCCTCCCTCCCAAATGACCACATTTATTTGTACTTATTGTCCTTATACTTATTTTCTTGTACATGCCCCCAAGGCAGCAAGATGGTGCAGTGCCTATTTCACTGGGCCTGGAGTCAGGAAGATTCATTTTCATAAGCTCAAATCTGATCTCAGACACTTGCTGTGTGACCCTGGGCAACTCACTTAACCCTGTTTGCCTCAGTTTCTTCATCTGTAAAATGAGCAGGAGAAGGAAATGGCAAACCACTCCATGATCTCTGCTGAGAAAACCCCAAACAGGGTCACAAAGAGTAGGACACAACTGAAATGACCAAATACACATGCCCTAATTGTCTCCCCATTAAAACGTAAGCTCCTTATGAGTAGGAATTGTTTTCATTCATTGCATTTGTATCTCTAGTGCCTAGCACTTGATAAAAGCTTGATAATGGATTGATTTGACTATTTTCTGACATGGTGAGCATTTCAAGGAAAGAAAATTAAGTGGAATCAGTATTGCTGGTTGCTATGGGACTCTCAATGACACCAACTTTGCCGCCTTCTTTCTAGGCCTCCCTGAGGAAGGTCCAAGAACCTTCTTTGTATTTAACTATGTCTGGATGTCTCCTGGCTCTACTTCCAATGGGAAGGCCATTCCAGGGGTGGGTCAGCTCTTTTACACTGAGTCTCCTCACACTGGGACTGACCCATCTAATTTCTCAGAGGTGGAAGGGACTTCTGATTCAAGCTAGTGCAACCCCAACTTGACCAAGAATCCCCTCAATGATTTCCCCAACATTCTGGTCACTGAGGGAAAGAGGGTCTCACATTAAGGCTACCCACAGTTAACTGAATGCTGAGGGCATACGACCTAAGAATGGCATGATTCTTAGCACTTTCTGTCCCATTTTCCAGCACTCAGCCCTGTCTCTTTAGAAGTGAATGAGTTTAGAATTCAAAACTTTAAAAAATGTTAAAAGATTGTTCTAACATTTAGTTGAGGGGAGGAATAAAATATCACACATAAAAAAGAGGTGGATGAGAACCACATTTGCCCTTTTTTTTGCCTGTGCCATGAGTTGTCCTCGTCAGCATTCATCACCTTCAGAACTATACCTGAAGCGTTTCCAGCCTCATAGCTTTTGAGAACGAGGATCACCACCCACACACCGTGGTGAGGCTGCTAAGCAGCATGGCAAGGGCATAAGTGGTCATTTTCTCATTTCACTTCCTTTCAATGTGGAGCTAGGATTTTTTTTTTGCAAGTATCATCCAAAAGATACTTTTACACAACAGTAAATGTTATTACTTACCGATACTTCCCTGTAAGAGATCAAGTCTGATTACAGCCAACGTCCTTTCAACCAACGGCTGGAGATTTTTTGCTTTAGCAAAATATGGAAAAAATTGAATGAGATGCTTCCTTGCCTTTTGTGCATCATCTATGAGATCACAGACTTCTATCAGCCCTTGACTTTTCAATAGTTCTCGTATGCTGTGAAAGTGAAAACCATTATTACAGATTAATTTAAATTCAACTATCGTATACCACCTAGACCAATATTTAGGATTTGATTAATAATACTAATAGTTTACATACATATAGCATATTAAGATTTCCAACCTGCTTTTCATCTATTATTTCATTCTGTCCTAGGACCATGAGCTATAAGAGGTGACCTTTCACCTTGCCTGGAATCCCACTTTCCAGCCATTTCTAAACTCTACCACCTATATTATGGCCATCTCCCTCCTCTTCCCACTAGAACCAGGAGACAATTAGATGGCACAGTGTGACTGAATACATCACAGACTGAATATTTAGTCTAGAGTTAGAGTTCACACTTTAGTTCAAATTTGGCCTCAGACATGTATTAGCTGTGTGACCCTGGAAGTCACTTAACCTGTTTGCCTCATTTTCCCCAACTGTAAAATGGGGATAATAATAGCACCTACCTCTTAGGTTGTTATGAGGATCAAATGAGATAATATTTATAAATTGATTAGGATAATGCCTGGCACCCAGTAGGGACTTCATAAATGCTTGCTTCCTTTCCTTCTTTCCTTCCTTCCCACTTCTGGGACCCTGGACGATGATAGAGGAGCTTTTGCCTTGCCTTGTCTAGAATCAGGCCACCATGCCATTTCCCAGCCATCTCCCAATCATGCCCCATCCCCTGTTGCAACACAGACTTCCCTTTACATGTCGTGTTCCTCTGCTAAAATATAAGCTCCCTCAGAGCAGAAACGACATACTTGCCTGTACCCACAACAAAAGCACGTAATAAACGCTCATTCACTAATTCGCTCATTTGCTGTCCAGGGTTCAGCATGAGGCATTGATTGGCTGAGTGGCCCCAGTGCCTCTCGTGTGTTGTATTTCCATCGGGTTCTGTGCATCCAAAGCAATTCCAGATAGGAATATTGGCCTCATCGTGGTGGCAGTTCTACTAGAGCAAGACAAAGCCTCTCCAGGGGATTCCTCACATGTGTGAATGGCCACATCGAAGCAGTTTCCCATTGAGTCTCTCAGTTCAGCACGTGCGAAAATACCTTCAAACCACGTCCTCACCACCAAACAACAGTCAGACGTTCCCTTTCAAGTTTTCTCCTTTGAACATTCCAAGAGCCCCTGTGAGGTAGGTAGTTAAGGCACCTGAGGCCCAGAGAGGTTAAGGGGCTTGCCTTTGGTTACAGAGTTAGAATTTGGATTCAGAGCTAAGTTTTCTCAACTCCAGTCTCCGAGCTCTTTTCCCTACCCCCATGCTATTTCTCACCTACTGCCTCTTAATTACATTCATCAGTTGACATTGGACACTTGAGCCTGTTCTTAAATCTCAAGATCATAAGAAGGTGGCCACTGGGGCAGCTCTCCTGTTTCTGAGCTTTGGGTGGAAGTTCTAGGGCCGCTACAGGAAAGAGGCAGCCAGATTCTCCACAATGGTTTGGCCAAGTGAAGCCTCTTCCAGTGTGGAAAGCAGCAAGCCTGGATTTGCTGTCAGTCAGACAAATCATTTACCTTCTTCAAGGCTCAGTTTCCTCATCCATAAGAATGTAGCCCAGCAGAGTGAACAGTGTGATGGATTAAAATCCATCCTCTGCCATTTATCAGCTGTCTGTCTCTGGACAAATTACTTAACGTCCATGTGGCTCAGGTGATTCCCTAAGACAAATCTGTTTTGTCACAGAAGGGTTGTCCAGTTGATGGAGGGAATACCCTACATTGGTGAAACCATAAATCCTTCCTGTAATACAATGAGGTTAAAAATGACTTCTCTCCTGGGATTAGAGTTGGAAAGGATCTCATACATCACATAGGTGGATCCCCTCATTTTGCAGATGAGAAAACTAAGCCCAATCAAATAACAAGCATTTATTAAGCACCTAGTATACGCCAGGCACTATGATTTACTTAGGATCACTTAACTTAAGTACAAACTTTGTCAGTGTGAGCACTTTCTCTGTTGACGATGATGCAAACCCTTCTACAAGTCAGGAGATGGTCTTTGAGAGTTGGCCAAAGATTTCCCTTCCTAAGGCTCTCCATGCTTGGCCAAGTGGTAGTTAGTCTACACATAGTCAGCTAGAAAGTGTCTGAGGTTCTGGTAACCTAGGTCCTTAGTTAGATTCTCCAGACAACAGGTAGAGGGGGTCCAGGTTCCCAGCCCCTCAGAGCTAGGTTCAAACAATGCAATAAAGTTTTCTCACAGGACAGAAATTGGACTAGACCCATAATTGAATAGAAAGGCAACTGAAGTAGATCCAGAATTGAGTCACAAGATGGAGTCAGAGGGGTTCACTCAATTCCCACATTATTAGACATGTCTGTAAACTTCCATCCTTCATTTTTTTGTGTTCAGTCTAAGACTTCTCTCGTCTCTCTGTTTTGTTTTTGTAAGTTGCATCCAGATTCAAGTTATTTTACAAAAAGTGAATTGTACTATACAGTTAAAATCTGGGAAAACAGGAAAATCCACAATAAAAAAAACCCAAATTTAAAAAAAAAAAGTGTCTGGGGCCAGATTTGTACTCAGGTCTTCTTGACTGCAGACAGGAAGCTCTATCCACTGCCCCACCTAGCTGCCTCCTAATTAAATGTGATAAGTTAAGTAACATGCTTTCTAATCATCTGTTTCAGACACTGATTGTGTTAAATTTTGGCTAGGTACTGAGCTAAAATGCCTCACCTACATAACAATACTCCGCTTGGATGTTCTTGGGAATTAGAGAACACGCTCATAGAAAATCAGGTACATCATGAAATTACTGATAATAATTCCAATGTTCTCTCTGGACATCATCCTCCTGATGCCTCGTGATGGCATGGAGGGGGTCATGCTAATGGAAGGCAATCTCTGGGCCATTCCACCGGACTCCAAAGTCTCCAAGCATGCTCTTAAGGGTGGCCTGGGTGCCTGGCTAGACTCAGAGCCTGACAGATCTCCAGGTCAGCCTTGGAAGAGGAAATCTTTTCTTTTTTCTTTTTTCTTTTTTTTTTTTAGAAGAGGAAATCTTTTACCAACTCTGAAAGACCATCTCCTAAGCTGTGGAGTGGTTTGTATCTCTGTCAATAGAGGGAGTGCTCACACTGACAAAGTCTGTACCAAATTTTTTAAAATATAAGTAGATTCATGAATTCTCTGCACCTTGTTCTCTTTTGGTAACTCCTATTTTCTGTCCTCTTTGGATCATGTTGCCCTCCCCCAGAGTTTCCTCTGGGAAGCCCACAGCATAGCTTCTATCTTCCTGTTTGTTGTTGTTGAGTCATTTCAATCATGTCTGACTCTTCATGACCTCTTTTGGGGGGGACTTTCTTGGCAGAGATACTGGAGTGGTTTGCCATTTCCTTCTCCAGCTCATTTCACAGATGAGAAAACTGAGGCAAACAGGGTGAAGTGACTCACTCAGGGTCACACAGCTAGTTAAGTGTCTGAGGACAGATTCAGATTCCAAGCCTAGTGCTCTATCCAGGGCAGCACTTAGCTTCTGCCTAGGTCTCCACCAATATGGGTAAAAGATTCACCAGTACTATGCAAGCACAGAGGGTAATAATGTACGTCAGGTGCAGGACAACCTTTACTTCACCGCATATCAAATATAAAACAACACAAAGAATTGACATTTAATAATAATAATAATAATAATAATAATAAGTATCCCCAAAGTACAAGGGCAGGTAGGTGGCATAGCACCAGGCCTGGAGTCAAGAAGACTCATCTTCCTGAGGTCAAATTTGACCTCAGACACTTACTTGCTGTGTGACCCTAGAAAAGTCACTTAACCCTGTTTGCCTCAGTTCCTCATCTGTAAAATGAGCTGAGGCAGGAAGTGGCAAACCCAGCTAGTACCTTTGCCAAGAAGACCCCAAATGGGATCACAAAGAGTCAGACATGACTGAAACAACTAAACAACAACCAAAATGTAAAGCGCTTTACAAATGTGATCTCATTTGATCCTCACAACCACCCTGGGAGGTGGGTGCTATTATTATCCCCATTTTATAGATGAGGAAACTGAGACAGAGAGTGATTAGGTGACTTGCCCAAGGCTATATGTAGTAAGCGTCTGTGACTAGATTTGAACTCAAGCTTTCCTGTCTCTAGATCTAGTCCTCTACCTGTTGTGTCACCTAACAGCCATGAAAAGTCAATACGATTTTCCTCCCCTTTCCAGTGAGTCCCACCTTCTCCCCAATGACTTATAAAACCCTCTAGACTCATAGCATCACCCTGTGGTTTGGGCTACTCTCGGTAGAAAGACAATAGTCAGATTTCCTCACATTCCACTTAGCCCCAAAGGTTTAGACTCTCCTTAGAAGGAACTGAATCCGGGGTTGCTAGAGATACAGCCCCTCATAGAACAGCAAGTCTGCCTTCACAAGGGTCCTCCAGTCCTCGGGATTCTTACCACCTCCCAACAAATCACACTATCTCAGAAAGAATATGCACTAGGGATGCTGCACAGGCAAGTCCTTTGCCATTAACCCTGCACTGTCCGAAAACCTCATAGTTGTTGCAGAGGATAAATTTCAGGCATTTCGCTCTCCTTTCGGGGCCCCCCTGCATGAACCCCTTCTCCCTCAGAGGATGGCACTACAAGGAGCTCCCCCTTCTTCTAAAAGGCTAGGTCCCAGAGCTCTGGAATCCGAGGTTACTCGAGAAGCAATCTCCTTTCCATTACACCTGAACCATCCAAATAATTCACAGTTAATAGGGATGGGGTTTTTTGTTTGCAGTTTGGGGAAGGTTTTTTTTTTTGTCTTCCAACTGTGGCTCAATCACTTGTTGCTCCTCCAGCTCCTGAGCCATAATTCTCTTCTCCCCCAGAGGTTAACACTATTCAGGAACCACCCCCCCTCCTTTTCTCTTTAGAAGGCTATGTCCTTAGGCTCTGTAGAACTCCAGTGTCCAGAAACTACCCCTATACCTACACACACACACAAACACACACACACACACACACAAACACACACACACACAAACACACACACACACACACACACACACACACACACACACCAGTCTGAGCTTATGGTTTCATCCTTGCTTGAAGTCACATGATTGAAAGGCTCCTTCAGTGTCTTTCAGTGCTATTAATGGCATCCCACCCCAGACAGAAATGGCACTCTTCTACCCTCTGTTCTATGTTCAAATCTCTCAAGGTTTCTGAGATAAGAACCAACTCATATCTCATGGCCCCCTTTTAACAGCCCAGCTCAAAGCTGTGTCTCCAACCCCAGGACAACCAGCCCCCATTGTGAAGACTCAAAACTTATAACTAATGAGGCATGAATAAGTGTGCCCACTTATTCCCTAACTTCCATTAGGGCACAAATCTCCTTTTGCCCTCATGAAGCTGATCAGGGAACTCTTCTGATCAGTGCTCTACACTTCCAAGTTAGTTCAGCTCGTCCCCTTACAAAAAGGAAAAGTCACTTAGATTTGCCATTAGCAAGCTCTCCGGGGTCAGGAAGAGAGGAGAAAGGGGAGGAAAGAGTCTGAGCTCACAGAAGAACCAAATTCTCACATGGCTAGAGCACAGCTCAGTTTAGATTGGTTCCTCACCTTTACCCCTTGTACCAGTCCCAAATAATATCAGAAAAAGAGTCCATTCTCTCAGGCCCATAACCCTCTGGGCTCCTCTCTAGCTCTCTGAATGTATCAGTCTTTAGAGTAAGAAAAAGGCTTGAGTTTGCACATGTTTTCCACTTAACTGAAGGCTATGAGATATTTTAAAATTTAGCTGAAGACGTGAATTGGAACAATATGTAACACAAGCCTCTGTGACTTAATAATTGTTAGGGGGAGGCCAAATGGAAAGAAGGGTCATTTTTTCCAAGTCCATCATACCTTTTCAGCTTCTTCTCTTCTTTCTCTTTCGGTTCTTCTGATTGATCTCCTTCTTCTTCTGCTTGATCTCCTTCTTCTGCTTGATCCTCATTTCCTTCTGCTTGATCCTCTATTTCTTCTGGTTGACCTTCTTTTTCCTCTGGTTGACTTTCTTTTTCCTCTGACTGATCCTTTTTTTTTTCATCTTCACTTTCTTTGACTGGTGGTCCCAGGCAAATGCCTAGAATATAGCTTGGGTTGTTTGTTGTATATGAGACAAATTCTTCAAAATCAAACTGCAAAGAAACCAAGTCTCAGTTATTTATTGTAGAAGAGTGGCTTCCTGCAATCATCAGAAACTAATGATCCTATCACAGTTAATTTCACAGGTGAAAAATATTTGCCATGTGATGATATTTTGCTAGGGAATGCCAAGGGTAAAAATGTCTTATGTCTTCTAAATAGATGGGAAAGCCTGTGAATTGTAGAACAATAGAGTTGGAAGCTAAGTTCAAACCCTTCATTTTACAGGTAAGTAAACTGAGGCCTCTAGATTAGAAGTGATTTACCCATGGCAGAATCAAGACTAAAACTTCTGACCCAGTATTCTTCCTGTTATCCCTTCTTTCCTGTATTACTTTTCCCCTATGATAGGAGGAGACAAGAATTCTGAAGAAGACAGTGGAGGACCATAAAAAGAGTTAACTGAAGGAATCAATATTTAGCCTGAATAAGAAAAAAACTTGGGAGGAAGGGATTGCATGATGGCTATCTTCAAGAATTGGAAGGGATGTCATGGGGAAGAAGGATTAGATTTGCTCTGCTTGGCCAAAGAGGACAGTACTAGGAGAAGTGTGGAAAAGTGATAACAAGTCAGATTTTGGCCTCACTATCAGGAAAAACTTCCTGACAATGAGAAATGACCAAAAGTGAAATTGCTCCCTCAGAAGGTAATAGGTTTCCCTTCTCTGGAGGTCTTTAAGCAAACGCTAGGTGACCATTTGGCAAGGATATTGTAGGGGGAATTCTTGTACAGAAATGGATTAGATGATGTGATCTCTGAGGTCCCTTCCAACTTCTCCCTTCTGCAATTCTGAGCCATTCTTGCTGAGTTCAGGAATGGAAGGGAGAAGGGAAAGCATCCCATGTAGTGAAAGAGAGATATAGCAATAACTCAGAAGAAGTCATAATGGAACGTTTATCACATATGAGAATAACAAAAAGCTGAGTGGGGAAAAAAGCCATACATTGGACAAAGGTTTGAGAACCAAATCGTCTCACTGGGCTATAGAAACTTGGGCTGAAAGAAGTTAGGTGAGATTTAATTTTTAAAAATGTAAATTTCTATTCATGGATCAAAAAATCAATCATGTAATTACAAAACGAGAAAAGTATGACTGAACAATATTTCATGTGAAAAAAACTCAAATCTGTGTGGGTTACAAATTCACTAAGAGTTAGTGATGTCATACGACAGCCTGGGAAACCGAGGTAATGTTGGGCAGCATTCACAAAAGCACAGGCTCCAGAATGAGCCTTAGTCCCACCATGCTCTGCCTTGGTAAGATTACATCTGGAGTATCAAAGTCAGCTCTAGATACCACATTTCAGGAAGAATATGGAAAAGCTGGAGCTTACTGAGAAGAAGAGGAGGAGGGATGAAAGAGAAGAGAGCAAAGTCTCTGCCACACAAAGATCATTAAGAGAGGCCCTGCCTTCAAGGAGTTTATACCCCACCATGACATGTACATGGACAAGTCAGCACAGGGTGATTTGAAAAGAGATCACTAATAATTGGGGATTATAGAAGAGGCTGCACCTTATACAGAACCACAAAGAAAGATAAGTAGATTTAAAAAGAATAAAAAATAATGTATGGTTTTGGTAAAAAAAAAAAAAAGGAAAGATAAGTAGTTTTGAGAAGTGGAGTTGAAGAAGGAATACATCACAGGAATGGGAGACAGTCTGTGTGACTGCCTAGGAAACAGAGCTGTTGCGTCATATAGAATGCTTGAAAGGGATTCATACGAAATGAAGCTGGACCAAGGTTGGCATCAAATTGGGAAACATCAGGCTGAGAGGTTTGCATCATATGCTAGAGGTAATAGGGGTCCATAGAAGGTTTTTAACACAGAAGTAACACAGCCAGACCTGTGTCTTAGGAACAATGATTTTGTCAGCTTTGTGTCAGCTTCATGGATGAGAGAGGAGAAAGACTAGAATCAGAAAAAGCAGTTAGGAGGTTATTTAACTAGTACAAGAGAGAGGTGATGAGGACCTGAACTAGGATAGTGAATGCAGAAATAAATAGAGAAATGGGGACAAATGCAAAAGATCTGGTAGTAGAATCAGCAACCCTTGGCAACTGACTGGATTCAGGGGGTTGAGGGAGAAGGAAGAGCCCCCAGCCTGGGTGATGGGGCAGATAGTGATGCCCTCAACAAAAATCGACATTCCTATCTGTGAGGGCAGGGAGTTCTTGTCCTATGATCAGATGCCTCCTGGCCTCCAATTCCAGGTAGAGATTAAGTAACAGGAAATAATGAGTTGATAGCGCAGTTAGCTAATAGTCACTTGAGACCAAAAACAGCTTCAAGGAGTGCCGTGCCTGGCAGCAAAGAAGAGAGACAAATGTGGACTGAAGGAAGAATAGGCAATTGAGAGTGTGGCCACAAAGAGGACTTCACAAAAAGAGAAAGAACCTCAGGGCTCTGCAGTACAAAGAGTATGAGCTGCCTTGGACACATGTTTTCCATATATGTGAGTCTCACTCACTGTCACTGTTCTTGAAGTTTATGCCCACTTTCCCCACGTGCGCCATGTGTATTTCTGGGAGATGGCACCCGAGGCTTATGAGGGGAATGCTTTCTAGCTACTGCTCTATGCTGTTTTAGTAAATGTCTGTTTGGGGTCAATCGTGTCTACTAGCTGACTGTTACGGTGAAGCACATTGGTAGGGGCCCATGAATTATAGTTTTAGGAGTGAAGACCCAACGAGTACACCTTTGAATCTGAGAGTAGTAGTCACTCTCTTAAAAGTAGCCAGAAAGGATTCTGCATATAGTAATAGAAATTTTCTCTAAGACAAATATCAAGAATATTTAAATTCCATTACATTTGACAAAGACAATCATTTCCTTAGATTATTCTTACCTTATTTGAATCCTCATCATAAAAATCTCTAATCTGCTCATCATCTAAGAATCTCTGCTCCTCTCCTATTATGACAGCACCAAAATCCACAATCTCCAATTATAAATTCATGGTACATTTCAGAAGCATTGATGGGCAACAGAGAAAAGAAATCACTCATGTTACTCTCCAGTGTTTAACAAACCATTTGGAATAGATTTCATTTCCCATAAAAACTACACCTTTTAAGCTGCTTTAAACATACAAATAGGGAGGGCTTTCTCTGTGCCCTATTCCTTTGAGCTTTCAAAAGCATTATTTAGAAGTACAGAAAGATGTGTTCCATTGACGCTGGAGGCTGAAGTGCTGACAAGAGATTATCAGCCTCCTAGGAGGTCAATTTACATGTTACTCTTTTAAGTTGGTTGCTTGGAATGTCTGGGCACATTTTCCCATAGAAATAATGTTGTAAACAATGATCAGATTCCCAGGGCAGGTGACAAATGCTTATTTAATGCACAAAGTGGCTGAAACCCTGTACATTGAGAGAGAAAAGCCGTAGAAAACCAGATGGCCTCTAAGGTCCACTTTGGCCCTGAATTTATGATGCTACAAGTGATCTTGGTTGAGTTACTTAATGCCCCTTGTTCTCAGTTTCCTCGTGTATCTGTAAAATGGGGTGGTTAGCCTAGGTGAGCTCTCCGGTCCCAGTCTCCTCACTCACCTCACCACCTTTTTTGGCATCTCATACTTTGGGTCCATTATCATTATAAAACATGACCTCTGTCACCAAGACAACTGACTGGATTCGCTGCCCATTAACACTTTTCCTACTGCTCACTGTTCTCACTGATCTCCATTTCCCATGTATGAGGTGGCTCAAAGTCCTAGGCACACATAGGTAAGCAAGGCAGGAATGTGGAACAAAGGATCCGAGGCCAGGACCTAGCGTTTGCCCTTGCCCCTCAGGGCATGTAGAGCACCGCACCATCTAGGTCCAGGGCTTTGGGCAATTTCTTGGATACTGGCTCAAGTGATCAGGAGCATGGCAGGTTCCTCCTTGGACTTCAGGCCACATGTTTCATTCTCTAGATTATGATATCAGTGGTCCCTGGCAGTGTTCTGTCTCTGTCTGTGTGTCTCTCCTGTTTCTGTCTCTATATCTCTCTGTCTCTTTCTTCCTGCCTTTTCTATTTCTGGTTGGCACATCACAAACTTCCCCGGCCAGAATCTATTGCCTATCTCTGCCTTTCTGGATTAAGTCATCAGCTCCACCTCTTGCTTAGTGGAGACCGCCCTGACCACCAAAATTCCAGTATCACAAGGATGTCTTCGTGACTCCTTTGCTGAACCTGGCTCTCCCTCGCAACCCTCCCTTTTCCTGGAATGGGACTTCCTCTCCAACTGATGACTTGCTCTAATAATGGATCTGCACCTCCAGTACCCTGTTAAAGACACGTATAGCCCATCTATGAAAGAATATTTCTTTCTCCCTTCCTTCCTCCATCCCTCTCTTTTCCCTTCATCCTTCCTTCCCCATTTCCTTCCTCTTTCCTTCTCTTCTACTTCCTTTTGTCCCCTTCACTCCCTCAATTTTTCCTTTCCTCTTCTGACTCTTTCCTTTTCTTTCTCATTTCCCTCTTATTTTTCTTCCTCATTTCCCTCCCTCAATCTTTCCTTTCCTCCCTCTGACTCTTTCTTCTATTCCTCTTTTCTTTCTCATCTCCTTCCTTTCAACCTTCTTTCCTTCTCCTCTCTCACTCCTATTTTTCCTTCCCACTCTTCCTTTCCCCCTTTTCTTTGACTCTTCCAAAGACGATAATAGCTGAACAAGGAGGTGTAAGCAAAGATCAATAGGACATTGACCTGGACTCCAGAAGACTAATTTCTAACTGAAATTTACCTTCTGGTACTGGAAGCATTTCTCCCCTTTAAGTAGATCAATAAGAAAAGTCTCACCCTTTTGACATTCATATGAACTTGATGGTGGATTTTTTGTTTTTGTTTTAAAAATGTTACTCATAAAAAAAAATGTTACTCACCATTTCTTTAATTTCTTCTACTCTTTCCTCTTCCACAGCACTTGGTCTTATTATCATTACATTGTATATATCCTCTAGGATAAAAATAAATTGGTTTTTCTTACAAAATAACAAATGAGGAGTTTGTGCTAAAATGTAAACTCCTAACTTCTAATTAATACATCAGTTAGCCACCTTTGTAGCTGAGTGTACTCTTTTAACAAGGTCTTTTTAGTTTCACCATCCTTGGCAATATCCAAGTTGACTCCCAATGTCTTCAATCTGTTTGAATGGGACCAAATTATAAATTAATCACCCAGTCTTCCTAACCTCTTTCTAGCCAGGACAGCAGTGGTCTTCAAGTGAGTCACAGGAGAGAGGTGACAACACTCTTGTGAAGAGGTCTGAATCCTCTTGATACAAAACTTTGGCTCTCAATGAGTCACGTGAAATGGACTGAAGAGAAAACTTGCTATTGTGAATGGGGTTGTCCCTACCTCCTTGATTACAGCCAGGAAGGCTTTATCTTGAAGTTTTCCTGGGACATGTACAATCTATGTCACCCTGGGCAACCTCACCCCAATCAATTTTGGTTTCCTCATCTGTAAAATGGGAATAATAGCACCTGCTATTATTGTTGGGGGATCAAACAAGCGTATGTATGTGCGTACATTACCCTGCAAACTTTGAAGCACTATATAAATGTTAGCTATTGTTGTTATTGTTGATTCTTAACTGACTCTTCTGTTGGCAGAGTCAGAGATACTTTCTCAACCTTGGAGCAGAAACTGAAGGGCAGCCTTAGATCTCGGGATAATAAGATAGTTCTTTTAGAGCAAGAAGAGACCTTAAAAGTCATCTAGTCCAACTCCCTCATTTTACAGATGAGGAAACTGAGGCCTAGAGAGGTTGAATGACTTACCAAAGGTCACACAGGTAGTAAATGGCAAGACACATAACTAGGACACCTAAAGTAGTTTGTTGTTGAGTCTGAAAGTAGGAGGGGCACTTAATTCTGGTCTGCTGTATTCTTGATTCTTGACCTTTTTCTCTGTTTCCCTTCTGGTTAGTTGTGAAAGAATAGCCTCCTTATTCTCCTCCTGTCATCAGTTTCTATCTTTCTCTCCCTCATCTCTCTCCTGTCAGCTGTCTCTCACTCTCTCCTTATGTCTTTGTGTCTGTGTGCCTATATATCAGTTTCTCTCTGTCTCTGTCTCTGTCTCTCTGTCTGTCTGTCTCTCTCTGACACACACACAGACCCACACACAGACACACACACACACACTCACACACACACCACTCGGGAAGTTCTTGTGGCCTTGTGTCCAAGGAAGGTATTAATCTAGCACAATCCTCTTTCCAAAAATAATTATCATAAATGTGAATATTAGATCTTTAGAATTCTTCATTAAAGATTCTATTTTCATCGTATGAAGGTTATTTGGGATATATTTGCATGTTGGTTCTGCCCAGGGATATTTTCCCTAATATAGTCCTTGTGTTTAGCAATTTTTGGTGGTCATTGCTTGCTTGCTTATTTTGTTTTTTTGTCAATGAAATATAATAGTTTCCCCCACTAACCCACATGAAGAAATTGTACATTTATTTATATCCAGTTGCTCTATGTCCAATGCCTAGAAGATTCCAATAGATTTAGAAAACAGTGGCAGAGGGTGCCAGCAAGTGTCCCCTCCTCTTCCAGTAGGCTCAATAACTCATTCCAACTCCTCAGAAGGTGTTCTGCCCAACTTCAAAGAGACATCACTGACCTTGCATATGTCAGGAAAACTCACAATCATCATGTAGGTAAGGCCTCCATATGCCCTTTCACGAAGGACCTGAGAGTGCTGTGTTGTAGTGTTGAACTGAAATCACTGTGAAATCATCACCCCCAATGCCAGGAGGTGGTCCTTCAAAGGAGGACATGCTCCAGCAGATTCTGCCAGGATGTTGAGAATGGGCAAAGACATCCAAATAGCAGCTGAGGAGAGTTGGAGAGTCTCCCCTGTACTCCTCCTGACCCTAGCCACCCAGAATGCTGGCCTCAAGACGATCAAATGTTTTTTGTATTTGTCTTGCATTTCCCAGAAGTTTGGGAAGATTATCTCCTAAGACCTAGAGGGATTGTTATCCAAGTCTGCGGATGGAGTGGCCCACACAGAAGCAATCAATTAAGAGTAAAAGCCAGAGGGGGCACCTAGGTGGCGCAGTGGATAGAACACTGGCCCTGAAGTCAGGAGGCCCTGAGTTCAAATGCGGCCTCAGACACATAGCACTTACTAGCTGTGTAAGTAAGTGGGCAAGTCACTTAACCCCAATTGCCTAACCAAAAAACAACAACAACAACAAAAAGAGTAAGAGCCAAAGCAATTACAAAGCTCTTTAACATTTGCAAAGTTCTCAACATATATTATTTCACTTGAACTTCATGACAACCTTTGGGAGGGAGGTACTACAGATATTTACCTCCATTTTACAGATGAAGAAACTGAGACTCAGAGGGATTCAGTGACTTGCCCTTAATCACAAAACTATTTAAATGTAGAAGGTGGGATTCAGACTCGGGTCTTCTTGAATCCAATTCTATCACTCCATCTACTATCCACCATGTGACTCTCTTCTTTAGAAATACTAAAGATGATATACCAATTCGAGACTCAAGTCACAAGAAGATCAGAAATGGCCTGTTGATTTAGACCTGTAGTTCACTTGGACACATCCAGGGACAGTTTATGGAAAAGCCAATGTTGGAGTAGTGCTCTATGCCATCCTTCTCAAAGGTTAGTTGTATGCCCTAAATATTCCTAAATTCCCTGCCATAATCTCTTGTGTATTTACCATTCATCAATTTTGTAAGCCTATGATGAACTTATTTATATATTATTGGCATTTGTCATCATTTCACAGGTGAGGATTTGTAGGGAAATAGCACTAGGAAAATTTTGAGGGTTTTTTTTTTGAGCACTTTGTAATTGTGGCAAGCAGGCATCATCAGGTAAACAGTGGTATCTTTGTTAGCGCTTCATAGTTTGAACAATTAGATTTGTCTTATATGAGTGGGCAGAACAATTCCACTAAATCATGGTTTTACTATAAAAATAGAAAATGACAGTTCATTACTATATTTTAAACGGTGATAGGTAATTGGAGCAAGATTTAAAGAAATACAAACTAGGTACAACTAAGTTCTTTTTCCATTATTTTTTAATTTCATCATTGCTGAAACTGATGCTGGTTTTATGTTTGGCTTAAGTAGAACATAGCTATTTACCCCTACTTAACTCATTCCCAAATTGCCTGCAATTTGTCCAGAGTTCTGGAACCTCTGATGAAGTTTGTCCAACATTCAAAACCCTTCATTCTCTAGATTCACCTTCCAACTAGATTAACTAAAGAACTTTTTTTTGTGGCTTCTTCATTTCATATAATTTAGTACTTAATTCCCTCCTAGCTTTTACCCAGCTTCCAACATTCTTTGAGTTCTATTTCTTCAGAACTGCAACTGTCTACTTTTCCAGCCACTTTCTCATTTAGTTACTGAAGAAACTCCCCAAAGATTTTAACTCCCTTCTCTTCAGGGGTTTTTCTTGCCAATCCACACAGCTTGGAATCATCCAGAAGCAGGAAAAGCTGATGGCCACCCTACCTCTGCACAGGAACACTGAATTCCTGCGACCATCTTCTTCATTTCAAAAAATACTCTATAGCTACTGGAGCCCATCTCTGAACTTTATGTGTGAGGTTTACTGATTAATTTTCCTTTGCAGTAATCCTCCTCCCATTAGAAACTGCCTAAAACAAGATCAGATCTCTCTGTCTCTGGTTTTAAAATGTCTGTGCCTCTCTTCCCAGGAAGCCATTAAAAAAAACTTTTAATTAGAACAGAACCAGGTTAGAATAGTGATACAAAGTTATTTTTATATCTAGAGACCATTCACTTTAATCCTTTTAAAACCATGATAATATTTGAGCAACCCATAGTTACCCCAGGGACAATGAAAAGGCTGCAATACATAATCAAGTGTAACAGGGCTTTGGCACATGCCTATAGCATCTAAGATGCAGGCAACCTTATGGGAGATGCCAGGGACCTGATTCTGGGAGAAGACATCCTGTACTGGCCTGCTGAGTGGGTGGGAGTAGCCTCTTTCCATTGGGTATCTATTCAGAACTGACTTCATCTTTAAATCTGCCTGACTGAGGCACAGTCACTCTCTTTTTCTGGTGGAGGTCTACCTTCCCCTTTCCCTTAGGGCCTGTAGCCCTGAAAAACCGGCCTCTGGAGTCTCAGGGATTTTTATCTTCTTCTGTTTGTTCTTTCCAATTCTAAGTAAGGAGAGTAGAGTCCCCCAAACTGGGAACTCTGGCCACGAGAATCTTACAGCCCACCTAACACCTGCATTCCAGGCCAGAGGTTGTAATCACCATAGTACAGAAGGCCTAGGAAGTCAGTGTCTTGGGTTTACAGGTCTCTGTGTCTAGAACTCCTGGGTCAAGGACTCTACTCCCCATCCCTAGAACTTAAAAAGACAAGTAAAATAAGACAAAAGCCCCAACCCCATTTCCTGGGGTGACAGGACCCAAGGAGAAGGTGGCCCTCCCCCATCCAGCTTACTGTCTGGTATCCCTCCTATGCATGAATGAGTCCGTCACCTCTGATGCCACCAGAAAGAGAACTAAATGAAGTCCCCAGACACCTTCAGCAGACCCTCTGTGGAGGATCTTGGGAAGGACATGGACAAGAGTCACACAGGTTTGGGAATCATCCACGAGTTACAGCCTCTATCACTGAAGGGGGTGGGGCTCATGTCCAGAAGATCACAAATTGGTGGAAGGCCAGATAAGACAAAACTCACTGTCGGATAAGCGTTCCATGGCATTTTTAACCCAACAGTCAACTCCCACTAAGTTCAATTCCATAGACCCAAAAAGAGAAGGGAAATAAGTGTTAATATGGCATCTACTAAGTGCCAGACACTGCACACTTTATACATTTTATCTCATTTGGATCAAAAGGTTATCCAAGTTGCCCTATTGGTTTTTACCCTAAAAATTAAGTAAAGGGGAGGATGGATTTCTCTTTTGGGCAGTTTAAATGTGATTAAGTGATCCAAGCACACAGAGAAAACTGTCATCGCCTCTCTTTTTAAGAAACACTGAAGAATAAGAAGGACTAAAGAATAATATAATAAGGGAAGATCAAAGATGCCCTTGACCTTTTAGAGCTGGTGACTCCAGACCCTTGAATTTTGTCAGAATTGCATAAGCCACGCTCTGTCAGAACGCCAAGCTGTATTTTGTGAGTCACCACAGCCAAAGAATCCATCATCTGGTGAGTAAGCAATCTACCAATGGCCAATCTCCCCACCCGCAGGGAGAGGAACCCTCAGACCACAGATTCCAGAGGCCACTTGGATCGTACCCAAAGCCTCTTCAAATGAGTCAGAGCTGCCAGAATTCAGTTTCTGCTCAAGAACCTAGAAGGACTTCTATGACATGAGGAAGACTTTTGTGGTTGGGAAAATCACATGATTACATTCAAGAGCCATGTGACTTTGGCTTAGCACTTCCTATTTAATTTATATAATTATTACTTGCCCACAGGTACTTCTGGAGTTTCAACCACATCTTCGCCTTCATCTGAATCCACTAGTACTAATTCAGGAAGCTAAGTGAGAAGGGAGGAAATAGAAGTAGAGGATAATGACTGATTTGCTGATCAATAATTTAAATCAAGCTACTAGAATAAAGAAAATGATGTATACAATGACTTATAGCAATTTAATACAAACAACTTTTTAAACCCAAAATCCTGTGTAATTATAATGGCCAAAATTGTTCTAAGATGAAATTTGAGAAAATGCACCTCATTTCATTTCATTGCAGAGGTGGGGGACTACAGGGTTGGGACATTATATGCACTATCAGATACAGCCCATGTGATGGTTAGTTTTGCTTGGTTGATGTTTTTTTCTCTTCCTTTTTTAATTTTTCTTACAAGAAACAATGTGCTGGGGAGGGGAAGGATGAAGGATGTACCAAATATGAGTATGGAATGAATGTTAAGTTAATAAGCATTTATAAAGTTCCTACTGTGTGCCAGGCTCTGTGCTAAGTGCTGGGAATACAAATATAATGGGACTGAAGCATATGCCCAGATCACATGAGAAGGAGGCACCCATCGTGAGGGGCCTGCTTCAGGGACAATTGGTACAAACATCTAGCACAGGCTTCCACGTGGGTGAGAATAGCCTCTTCCTATGGACTGTGTCTTTAAATCTATCCAAGGCACAGCCTCTCTCTTTCAGGTGATATCCAGAGGTGAAGGACTCATTCACCCACACCAGGGTCACCATGTACTATGCTGGGTGGGGAAGAGATATCTTCCCTTCCCCTTAGGTCCTATGATCCTGAGAAATGGGCTTGGGGTGGTGGTCTTGTTTTCTTTGTCTCTTTCAGTTCTAGGTGCATGAAAATAATACTCTCAGTGCAAACCAGAATCCTATCTGTGAATGCTAGAACTGCAGAAGCAACAGAAAAAGCAAGAAAATGAGCACACAGTGTTATCAACCAGAAAAAGACATGGAAGACTTACAATACGAAGCAATGATTTTTTTTGAACATAAGCATCATCTGGATTGTAAAAGAAAATGGGACCTGAAATGAACTTGACCGCTCTATATTTCCCAGGAACAAGGGACATATTGCAAATCACTAGAATTTATAGGATGCCAACCAGGGATGAACCCAAATTCAAATAATTACTACATGACAATGACATGAAGGTGATCTTTTCCACAGGGGAAGATATTACACATCAAAAAGTTACACAAGACTTTTTTTTCTAAACACAATAAAAAAGTAGGAATATGCCATACAAAAAGTTGACATATATGGTTATATCCCCAAAGGGACTTCCCAGCAAAGTGAAGCTTTCTTTTCAAGGTTTTTATCAGTCTTAAAGATACCACTAGAAAAGAAACATGACTAGTAAATCTAGTGCACGGAATAAGCAGCAGAATCATCTACAGGATGGCCAATGTGCAGAGGAAGAAAGCCTGAAGACACCAGATTTACCAGCTGCTCAGGAGGGAGGAAGTGACAACAATCTGTAGTCGTTAAAAGTCCTTGGAAATATTAATAGCCTGTTTCATTAACTTTTCTTTTATCCACTTTCCATTTTTCGTTGTCAACATGTTGCTTGAATAGCACAGGCTGGAGCTTTCTCAATTGGGTACCATATCTTCTCATTTTTATTCATTCTTCTGATTTAATATAATTTTTATCTTTTCATTGTTGTGTTTATGTCAGACCAGATACAGATGGCTAACTTGAAAATATCTCAAAAATAAATAACCAATTATTTCCCACTTATTAAAATGTAACAAATTTCATTTGTTCTCATCATGCTCAACATCTAAGAGCTCTGTGAACTAAGCATTCATGAATGGTGACTATGGGGTTTGATACTGTCCACAAGCCTTTTACCCATCTTGACTTTTGCTCCTGAACCTTGTATTGCCACATCTTTGCCACCTTCCCCTATGCCTACTTTTACATTTGCCACCACATGTAAAAGTATATGTTGATTTAATTTGGAGGCTCTTATAAGGTCTTCATAGGATTTCTCTGCTTCCTCATCCTCAACAACAACAACAAAAAAAAAATTAGCACACAAGCTGCAGTGATCTTTAGCTGGTCTTTTTGATAAGGTTCATCATAAGCACTGTAATAAAAGATGATCAAATATCCCATGAAATGACATTTTGAGTTGTCTTTGGAAACATGATAAAGCCAGCTCTGCCAACTCCTTCATTCACCTCTGCAAGGGGAAATTGTGAGGCATCCTTTCCTTGAGCTAAAGTATCCTTTTCTCTTACTTTTGTTTATAGCAAGAGGCAAAAGAGGGATTAGCCTTGTTCTGCTCATCCCGATAGGAAAGAACAAGGAGCAAAGGATAGAAGTTGTAAAGATGTCCATTTAGGCCAGAAGTGAAGAAAGCCTTCCTAATGATGAGACCAGGCAAGTGAAATGCATCACCTCGAGAGCAGCGGGATCCCTCTCACTTGGAGAAGCTTAGAAAGTAAGACCTCACACGACGGTTAGGTTAAGACCTCAGAACCATAGCTGAAGCTCCACTGCTGCAGGCTGGTAGAGAGGGGAAGGACAAGAGAGAAGCACCATCTGTTTGTCCTGAGAATGGAACAAGAAGCACAAAGGCTGTTTTCTCTGGAGATTTTTGCAACTGGTGAAAAGGAGCCTTGTGGTTGCATGTTCTGTACCTGGCACAGTCTGGTATACAGTCAGAACTCAATAAGTGCTTTTTCCTTCATGTATTCATTCGTTCATTCTTATCATGTTTATGTTACAAAAGGGTCTTTGAGCTTGCTTCCTTTACATAAAAATTCTGTCCCCACTTGCGACATTTTAAATGTGGATGCTAAGCCAGAAATAATCACCTGACTTACAAGTGAAAATGGATAAAATTTGCCATCTCATCCATGTCTCAGAACTCTCTGATATCATAGGTGCACACAGAGCACGGGCCAGATGAAGCTCTGTGCACCCCATGAGGTCACTGTTTTGGTCCAGGAGACCTATTTCTGAGTTCCCTTCCAACTTTGGAATTCAAAGAGGATCTCAATATGGTTGGGATCCGGTTACTCCAGTCATAGGTTGACATGCTGGTCATTATGGAAAATGGGGACAGCCAGGTGGTACAGTGGATAGAAAACCAGGCCTGAAGTGAGGAGGGCCTGAGTTCAGATCCAGACTTAGACACCTACTAGCCATGTGACCCTGGACAAGTCACTTAACATCTGTTAACCTCAGTTTCCTCATCTGTAAAATGAGGATAATAACAGCACCTCCCTCCCAGGGCTATTGTGAGAATCAAATGAGATAACGATTGTAAAGAACTTAGCATAGGGCCTGGTAGAGAGTGAGTGCTCTATAAATATTAGTTGTTATTATTATTATTGAAAATAAATTTGGCTTTGGATTTAGAGGCACTGGGGCTAAATATTGGCTCTACCCCCTAACTACCCATAGAACCTTGAGTATACCACTTATGCTTAGGGGGATTAATTGACCTCTCAGGTGTCTTCCAGCCCTAGCCCTCTGATTCTCTGATCTCACATTTAGTATATGAAGAGTTAAATTAACATTTATAACATCTACAACTGTGGATTCTTTGTCGCAGCTCTTTTCTATCACTCTGACCCTGACCCTCCTTGCAGGAGCAGAAAAGGGTCAGACAGGAATGAAGGCACTCCACATTTGTGATTCATGGATCTCCACGACCAAAAAACTAGTCACTGAAGGACCAGCCTACGGGTGATGAGATTCTTGGAACCCAGCTACCCATGTCCTTGGAGTACAGCCACAGTCTGTCATTAGGACTGTCCTCAAAGCTTTTCCAACTTGGGAGAAGCTACCTGAGTTGGTACTACTTGGGCAGAGCCTTTGAAAATGCTGCCTCTCCTCCACACGATGTGTGGCACAGGGGGAAGACTTTGGTGCTACTGTATAAATGAATACAAATCTGACACCCAAACCCATAAAGAAGTGGCACAAATTTGTAAATGTACAGTCTATCTTACCCCACCCCACCTCTATATAATAAGTAAGCAAATAATTTGAACAAGGAATACTCAAAAAAAGAAATACAAATGATCAAAAAAATTGCTCAAACTCTCCTAATGAGAAAAACATCATTTCAAACCATTGTGTGACAGCCCTTTATACTTCAATATTCAAATGAGTCTATGATCTCATCAACGTGGGCGTGTACTCCCAAGATGCAGATTTTCCTCCATCCATGTCTGTGTAACCTACATGAATCTTCAATCAGTCAATCAGTAAACATTTATTAAATATTTACTCTGAGCTAGGCACTATGCTAAGTGCTGGGGATACACAAAATACAAAAGAAAAGGAAAAACAATTCCTGCCCTCAAGGACTCTATATTCTAATGGAGGAGATAATCAGCACATAAATAGGCATATACAAATATTTACAGATTAGGTGTAAGGTAACCTTAGAGTTAAAGGCACCAACAGCTGGGGGACATGTGAAAGAGTTCCTAGAAGGCAGAAGTAAGGACTATGAGCTCCCATAGATCAACCATAAAGGGTCCACACAATAGCAGGGACCTTCCTCTAGTTCTCTCAATATGCCATGACCACTGATGGAGCACATGAGCTAACCATCAGTTCTGCCTCACTCTTGCTTCATGACCAATCCAACAACATATTTCTCTGATGACCCCCATGACACAGCTTCTGCTGCCCAGTTCCTTTTTTGTGATCAGACATAGCTGCTTGTGCCTAATGTTCCCCTTCCTTCTCCATCCCCCTCTTAGTGATGTTCAACTTTAGTTCTTTAGAAATATGCCCTATTGGGGCAGCTAGACAGCACAGTGTATAAAGCACTGGCCCTAGAGTAAGGAGGACCTGAGTTCAAATCCGGCCTCAGACACATAATACTTACTAGTTGTGTGACTCTGGGCAAGTCACTTAACCCTATTGCCTAGCCTCCCCCCCCAAAAAAAGAAATTTGTCCTATCTCTTAAATAGAAAACAAATTGATATTACAGCACTTTGGTTTTAAATAAATCACTTTTGATCCATAATTGACAAAATAAAACTATCATCCAAGTGGATTTTTTCAAAAAGTTCTAGGAATGGATTAAGGTTATCTAATTAATGTTATAGGATCAGAGATAGATATAAAGTTGGAGAGGACCTTAGTACAAGCCTTCCATTTTTACAGATGAGTAAACTGAGGCCCAGAGGATTTAAGCAGTGAGTTGCCCAAGGTCACACAGCTAGGAAGCAGCAAAGGTGAGAAGTGAATGTCAAATTCAGTACACTTTCCATGGTACCACACAACTCCTTGGACACGGAGGCACCTCTGGCCTTTTATCACCAACCACAGTGGCTCAGAGATGCTTTCATTGACTGCAAAGAGCAAAAGGGGCTCAATGGATTTTAATGGTAAGTAAGGTCTAACTGTTGGGATTTGATGAGGATGATAAACACTCTCCATCTATAATCCATGCTTTCGTTTTCTGTCATGAACGTAATCAAATGCAACTTTTGAAAAACCTTCCCCGAAGAAAGATTCTTATTCCTTTGGCCAACTAGTCCCCCGCTCTCCTCTAGTAACAAATTAATTTACTCATTGACACAATGGTTTTGGTTAAATGATAGGCAAATGTTACTAATCATGAATTGTGGACAAAAAGAAGCTATGGGAAAGACTTTGGGAGAAGGCATATATACAGAATGAGAGATAGGCAGCCAGCGTAGCTGTAACTAGGGTAAAGTGACCAGAGCTTTGCCCCCAGCTGACAAATTTAGGGGGAGTACCAATAGTACTTATGGTCCTTCAGCAACATAGAAACAACAGATCCATGGGACCTAGTTAGCAAGAATAATTAGTTAAAATAGGAAGCTACCAGATGGAGTGAGCTCCTCTCCTACATGACTGTTTCTCTCCCTTCCCCAAGATGGTCTCCATCTCCTACCTGCCCCCACTGAAGGCATGCCATTTGCCCCAGGAACACTTTGGAGTACTTCAGTGCAAACATCCTTCAGTAGTGTTATGAGCTCTTGTGCTCCCTTGTTTTCCCCGCCTCTATTAGAAAACCAGGAAAAAATCTCCAGTGCATTGGAGTGGCCCTTTAAGGAGGACTTGTGGAAAATATGGACAGAATGACACAGGATGAGAAGGAGTGCAGGCAGTATCATCTTTGTTTCCTGAGTCCCTCAATTGCTAGCATCTTCCCTGTCGAGGCTACCATGGGCCTGTTTTTTATGTGTCTTGTTTATACCTACATATGTTGTTTCCCCTGTTAGACTGTAAACCCCTTATGGGCAGGTACTATTGAATTCCTGCAAGTGTATCCTCAGTGCCTGGCACACAAAAGGCACCTATTAATTGGTGGTTGATTGATGGACTATGTTACTAGAGAGTGCCCACATTGGTGAAGTGATAGCTATCTCAATACCCCATAAGTCTCTAAACGTCACAAGTAGAAAGCAAGTTGTTTTTGTAAATTACCACTGGGCGGGACATTTCCCCTGCTAAAATTTTCCTTTCATCTTCAACTAGTTGAATCACTTTAGCATTTATCAATGGTGCATTTGCACCTTTAACCATCGATATGATTCTGCCATTCTAAAAGAAAAGAGAAAAAATAAAATCACATTCTCAGTGTAATTCCATGACCAGTTTTTTTATCAAAGTTTTTATCACTATTCCAATATTATGATCACTAATAAAATATACCCCCCTCCTTTCAACAGAGACATAGGAGATCACTAGAGCAAAATGTTCACAGATATTATTACTGTATGAGCTGCTTTTCCCTAAATGTCTTTCATTGTTAACAAGAAAGCATTCCATTTAAAGATCAGAAGAAGAGAGCTTTTTTAAAACTGTGGTATAAAGCCAAAGGGTATTAATGAAATCTGCTTTGACAAAAACAAAGTTGGCTGTCAACACTCTGTGAAGCAGACCCTCAATGCCATGAAGCCTTGCCTCCTTTATCTCCCCAAACACACTGTGCAAATGCCTTTCTGGACACCTTGGCTCAGACCTTTAGTCCAATTTGGAATACCGGATGAATCTTACCTCCAATTCAAAAAATATCAACAAAATTCTGACTATATACAAGACATTGTGTTAGGTGCTAGAAATAGAATATCAAAAACACAATCATCCCTACCACAAAGGAGTTTACATATATTGGGAAGGGATAGAGAATTACACCAAGTATATAGATAGTTAAACAGAAGGTTATAGTATGAGATTATACTGAGGACTGATAGCTGGGGTGGGGGATATCCACAGGGAGAAAATAGAAAAACTTCACCAAGGAGATGGAATCAAAACTGAGCCTTGAAGATGGCGCCTACAGTGAGCTTTCAAAGAAAACAGGACCGAGAAGTTAAATTGTAGAGGCAATCCGCTCCAAGAGTGGGCTCCAAGTCAAGTTCAGACACCTTGCAGTCAGTGGTCCCAAAGGCAGTTGAGGGAGAACAGACCAAAGTCAGGGGGAATGGTGGGTGGGAGCCAGTGGAGACCGAGGCTGCCAAACTCACAGCGGCTGCTCCCCCTGCCTCTTGCTTTATGCAGCTTCACTTCCCCACTCTGGGGTGCTCTCAGCTCCTTTTCCACAGGGTCCTAGGAGTCTGTTAAAGTTCAGCCCCAACAGACCAGATCCACGGTCAGGGCAAACTTTTCAGGGGTCAAGAAAGAGGGATGCTAAGGGGATTTCTTTCTGGCCAGCAGGCATTCACAGTCAGTGTCCTTTGCCATATCAAGCCAGCACTGCATAAGAAAAAAGTGATGAGTTCCAACAGCTGTATTCACTGTATGAATTAGCTATGTTTATGTATTGGTTACTAAAATGCAAATCCTAATATCCTGAAATTCCTTAACTTTTTTTAACCATCTCAGTAGGGGGTGAAGGGGGACACAAAGGACAGAGTCAAGCATGAATCTGAGGTTGCGAACCCAGGTTCCTGAGAGGGTGGCAGTGCCCTCAATTGAAATAGGGAAGTTTGGAAGAATGGGACAAAGACTCAGAAGCCCAGGTAACGCCCGACTAGGGTTAGGGATGTAGACTCTGCTATCTGGCTAAGTTGGTGCATTCTCTCTGGCCTAGATATCCCCAGCAGCGTAATTTCATCAGGAAACATCTCTAATTTTCCTGAGAAAATAAGATTATTCCTCATGAGACACTTTTTCTTCTAACCTTCTCTTCATCTCAAAACTCCTTGACATGATTCTCTCTTCCTTCACCCAGTCTCTAATAATAAAGTCACCCTACTTGTGACTAAGGCCAACACGTGCCTTTGATCCCCATTCCATCTTATCTTCTCTAACAAACCCCACCCCCTATCATCACCCCTCCCCCAATCTTCAAATCCTCCGTATTTACTGACTCCTTATCTTCTACCTTCAAATGGGGCCAGGTCTTCCCTAGTCTTAAAAACAAACAAAACAAAAAACCTTCACTAGATCCTACCATCCCTTAAGACAATCATCCCACCTCTCTCCTTCCTTTTGCAAACTCCTAGAAACCGCTATGTACATAAGCTGCCCCGCCTTCCTCTCCTCTCACTCCCTCTGGGTCCTGTGGCTTCTGTTCTCACTGCTGACCTGAAGCTTCTCTCTCTGAGATTAACAACCACCTCTTTATCGCCAAGCTCGATGGTCTTATTTTTGGCCCTTGGCTTTCTTCCCCTCACTTCTGACTGTGACACCGTCTCCTCTGAGTTTTCCGGAATGGATGATGAGGCAGCAAGGTTTGTCTGATTGATCACAGCTCCTCGGAGACCTTGCAGGCTCGTCCTCCGTATCACGCCTTAGAATTGGGAGTACTTCCCAAGGCTCAGTCCTAGATGCTCCTCTCTCTCTCTCTCTCTCTCTCTCTCTCTCTCTCTCTCTCTCTCTCTCTCTCTCTCTCTCTCGTGTTTTTAATTAGCATCCTTATCCAGATTATTTAAAGATTTATATTATCCATAATTTCTCCTCCAAGCTTACAGTCCCACTATAGCAGCTGCCTATTGGATATTCCAAAGTCATCACAAACTCAGCATGTCCAAAACATAACTAATTATTACCTCCCATCAAAACCTTCCAAGATTCCAATTTCCTTATTCCTATTGAAGGTCCCACCATCCTTACAGACTCCCAGGTTCACGATCTCACCATTATCCCAGATTCTTTACTCTGCCTCACTGCACATATCCAGTCAGTTGGGAAATCCTGTCATTTCTACTCTCATCTCTTTTGTCCTACTATGGCTATCCACTTACACAGCCACACCACCTTGGTTTATGTTCTCATCCCCTCACCTAAACTATTGCAAAAGCCTCCCTGCCTTCAGTCTCTGGGTCCTCCATCCTTGGCAGTCCATCCTCCACACAGCAGCCAAAGTGGTATTTCTGAAAGCACGTCTGATCACATTACTTCCTTACTCAGTAAACTCCAGGATAAAAACAGCAAGTCTCCATTTTGCTTTTAAAGCTCCCCAGAACCTGGCCCTGTCCTCTCTTTTCATGACTTCCCTTCCCACCCTCTGAAATACATCCACAATCACTTTCCCTCTTTTCCTCTCCAACAGCACTCCACCCTCCACCTGCATGCCCTGGCCGTGGCCATCTTCCGTGCATAGAATGCATTCCCTCCTCACCTCTGGTTCACAGGACCTTCCCCACTATTTCCAAACCATGTCACATACACTCCGGCCATCTTTCTCATCCCTCTGCTGCCAAAGCCCAGACTGTCCCTGGGACTTTGAGAGATGAGACTTTACATTCTGTTCCCCAGAACCAAGCACGCTCCCTGGCCATTCCCAAGCGCAGCACCTGCGCTCTGCTTGCCCCCTTTCTGGTTCCTCTTTATGTGTTGTCTCTCCCCATTAGAATGGAAGCTCTTTGAGGGCAGGTCCTGGCTTGCTTGCTGATATTTGTATACCCAGCAGTTAGCACAGTGCCTGGCACATAGGCAGTGCTTAATAACTGCTTTTTTGCTCATTCTTCCTTTAAGATTCAACTTAAGCACCAGTTCTGCATGAAGCCTTCCGTGATCCGACTCCCAGCTACTAGTCCCTTCCCTTTCAAACTGCTTTGTATTTAACTAGTTTGTATTTATTTCCATGTATTCATTTTATATCAATGCTGTATGTGCTTGTATAGGTACTATTCAAAAGTCATTGCCCATGAACAGGGATTGTTTCATTCTGTGTATTTGCATCCCCAGTGCCCAGCCCAATGCCCAGCCCAGTGCCCGGCCCAGAGGAAGTACATCTGGTTGGCTGACACTGAACACAGACCTCCTGAGATTTCAGACCAAACAGGAAGCATTCTGGATTTCAATGGAAAATCTTGGCCCCAAAAGAGCGATGAAAAAAAATGTGCCTCTTTCTCTTCTGTGCGGTGAGGGGCCGGGAGAGCTGGGGACTGCACAGAATCAGATTTGGGGGATCTGTTGGTAAACTCTGCTGAACTGCTTCCCCTCCCCTTTTTTTATTCTTAGCTGTATGGGACAGCTCGCTGGGTAGCAGAGGGGAAAGGGATGTATTCAGCAGTGAAGGTGATAATGAAAACAAGATATCAATGACGATTCTTAATGAAGCTTTCTGGAAACATTTATGACTTGCTCCTCAAGCTTATAGTCCTTTGTCCACTTTCAAAGCCTCCTATAATCTGGCTATACCAGACCCCTCCACACCTTCCCTCTGTGATTGACAATAATTTACCCTGAGCTCTAGACAAGCCAGTCATGTCACAACTGACCTCACTGTCATATGCAACATCATACAAATTACAGGGAAACTGATGCCAACTAAACATAGGGGGGAATTCTAACAAGTAGAAGGTTTTCAAAAGTGAGATGGCTGCCCACGGTGGCAGGGAGTTCCCCACTATGGCAAGACATCAAGCTTGGATGCCAACTGGATGCTTACTTGCTAGGGATGTTTTAGAAGAGATTTCCATTCAACTACTTGGTCCCTGTGATTCCCCCCAACTTCTAGGATTTCAGGATTCTATGAAATGTTTATTGGACACCTAGCTACCGGTGGGGCACTACATGTTGGGCAAAGACACATGTGCTCTCTGGCCTCAAGGAGATTATAGACTAGTAGATATTGCGCTGGGCAGAACACTCATTGTCAATGAATTTGACCATTGTCTTTTGGGCTACATTTCAAATTTGTCCAGGGAGTGTGAACTAGACGAGACAATGGCACATGTGAGGGTGATACTTACAAGACTAAAGAGGAAAACAGGCTCACATTTATCTCTGAATGACTGCAGGCTTATCAGATTGTCTGCTTCTGCCTGAGATCAAAGCAAACATTTCATATATTAACAGGCTAGTGTAGACACTTCAGGTTCAAAACTGCATAAAATCAGTTTCTGCGTTTATTTAAAACAGTGGAAAGAGCACTCAACTTGCCACTAGTGGACTCTACAATTCTGAGGAAATCAATTAGCATCTCCTTACCTCAGTTTCCTCATCTGCAAAGTGAGAATAATAATAGCATCTATCTGACAGGGTTATTTTGTAGAACAAATGAGATAGATTATATGCATATGGAGAGATATAGGTATAGGCTACATATCTGTATCACTTTATAAACCATAAAGTGACATACATATATCATATGTATATACATATAAATGTACACATATATTCACATACATATAAACATATATATTCGGACAACCTCTCATCTATGTTTGTGTATTGGAGAAGCCTGTTATAACAAGTGAATATATATATATATACATATATATATATATGTGTGTGTGTGTGTGTGTGTGTGTGTATGTACTTGGCTTGACTGCCATGTAGGATGAGATCAGAATCCAAGTTACAGATATGTAGGTGTCAATAGATGTATAGTTGGTCTCCAGGATTGCTTTCAACTCTAGCTCTTCAAGCCTCTGACCTGTCATTTCACTGATGAGGGTAATTCCTGGTATGGAAATTCCCTCCCCCCAATGATTGTCAACACCTTGTCTGTAACTTACAACCTCAGAGTTGCCTGGGGTGCTGAGCAGTGAAGTGACTCATCCTTTGTCATACAACTAGTTCAGTGTTATAGGCAGGACTTAACCCCAAGCCTTCTTGATTATAAAGCCACCACGGTCACACCATGCTGCCTCTTCCTTTGCATGTAGCAGGTGCTCAGTAGATAAAGTGAGATGGATGTTATCAGCCTTTCTAGTTGATTAGTTAGCTAGGATAGATAGACAGACAGACAGACAGGCAGATAGGGATAGAAATAGAGATAGATAGATAGGTATAGATATGGGTATAGATATAAATATAGATAGATCTATATCAACAATCTCCTCCACACCATTTCCGGACTTACTACGTAGCAAAAGTAAATATTGAAGAGTTGTGGCCAACCTCCCCATATCTGACCAGGCTGGTCCTTGGGTAACATACATGTGAACTATCTCTTTCTCTCCCACATGGTAGGGTTTGACATAGCTGAAGCTCCTCAGACATTATTTTTTGAGAATCCAAGAATTCTAGGGTTGGAACAAAGACTAAGCCTCGTGCTGACAGGAGTTGATTATAGGACTTTCTTGAACAAAATATATACCAATGAACACATCCAATCATGCTGGTAAGATACAAAAGACATGCACATACTCACTGCCACCCTCTAGATTCCCAAACTTGATCTAACCTAGAGGAAATGAGGTTGCATACGTAAATCTCCCTAAAGGCATAGCTCAAACTCTAGCTGGCCCCGTGATTCTCTCTCTTTCTAGGTTAGGAAAAGATCACCATTCCCAGAGTCCTTAGCTATTTAGCCCCCTGTGCTGAGCAGACAATCCCAGCCTTTCTCTGAATGACTGCTAGGGTGGAATTTCTTTTGAATTACTGACTGCACTCATGGATATGCCATCAGTAGGGCCGCTCTAGGTTGAACAGCCCCCAGCAAATGTTTTCTGCAAAGGCCCTGTCTATATAAATAATGTGATTTTTAAAATGTGTTACAAAATTCGTGGGTCTTTGGGAGGCATGCCGATTTATCAATAGATTGAGAATAATTAACTTATAACATTCATCTTTTCATTAAAAGTGTTATGATTCAGGGCAGCTAGGTGGCACAGTGGATAGAGCACTGGCCCTGAAGTCAGGAGGACCTGAGTTCAAATCGGGCCTCAGACCAAACACTTGATACTTACTAGCTGTGTGACCCTGGGCAAGCCACTTAACCCCAATTGCCTACAATAAAAAAATAAAATAAAATAAAATAAATTTAAAAAGTGTTATGATTCAAAACAATGAACTGTACAGAGCAGAAATGATTGTCTAAATGTGGATTACTGTTGCAGAGCACAAACCACTCACTACCTGGGATAATTCATGACCACCAAAGACTAAAGGACATGTTCCCTCCCACCACATACACACACACACACACACACACACAGATACCCACACACACAAACACACACACACACACACACACACATAAACACACATCCTTCAGGCTATTCCCAACACTCTTTCTCAGACAGTCTAGAGAAATGGTTTATGCCGTGAAGCCTCACCTCACTCCTGTCTGCAGGCCTTCAACATGCCCCAAATATCCATAGCTTCATTTTCAGAAGTATTCTCCAACACTCCTGATAGCTGAGGCTCAGAAGTTAGAGCACATTGAAGAGACAGCTAATACTTACACATTCCAAGAAAAACTGAAAAGATGGTCCTTTTTGTGGTAGTGCATGTCAAAGAATAAAGCATAGTGAATAAACATTTTATTACAGATCAGAATTCTATTTTGGTGTATTTTGCCTGAAAAAGACCCTTCATAGAAAGCCTTAACAATGATGTTCATTTTCATGAAATAGAGAATTTTAAAGAAAAATTTTGTTGCATTTTTCACTAAAGTTTAAATTGTTGTCTTTTATTAGTATTTGTTGTGCTGAAAATACAAATAAACCAGAAAATGGAATACTGTCTACATTTCATAGTACCCTACTTTTTCGAAACCTCAGACACAATAACTGTATCTTTCTTGAAATTAAAATGATTTTTATTAAACATACAAATGTAAGAAATTTATAATTTAAGAAATGAAATTAAGTGGAACTTATGTTTCAATTGTTGATAGAAATTTTTGACACTATTTTTATGTTAAAATTATACTACACCTGGAGGAAGGAGGGTTGCACTATTAGTTATGACAGCTTAAATAAACATAAATATGAAAATTAAAGATAAAATATTCTAGTCTATATACAAACAATCAAGTCTCTAACTTAGCAACACATAACAGAAGACACAATTTGTGTGCAATATGATGAACTAGGGCACATGCACACTTTGATGAAGACCTGCTTTCAATTGGCCCCTTGGAAAAACAGGAGAATTTTTTGATTTAAGTATTTTACAGTTACAGTCATAACATGAATGACTACTATATTTTTTAAAAAACACATTTAAGTGAATAGTGGAGCATTACGTGAACCCTTAAAAATTTAGGTAAGGCCCTCAGAATTTTTAAGCAGCCAGTACAGGATATATTAGAAATTTCTAAGTAAATACAGGACATCAAAAGCCATTTACTGCACAGAACATAGAGATTATGCTACTAAAATCAGTATTTAAAGTTAGCATTCTTCAACTTTGATATGACACGTAACATCCCATCTCCTTTCTCTAGATCTTTGTCTAGGACTAGGCTGTCTGGGCCCTATGCAGCTGAAATACCCTTTTCCTCAGGGGGCCATCCCTGATTCTCCTGGATGTTAGCCCCACTCCAAATGGCTACATCTTCATTTTGTATGTAATCTATGTATTTACTCATCTCTGAACGTGTTGCTCTCCCTAGTAAAATATATGCTCCCTGAGGATGGGGACTTATTTTTGCACGGTATCTCCAGAACCTACACAGTACCTGACAGGATACGTGCTGAATCATGTATTTTGATTAGACATTGACAATATAGTCCCTGCCCTCATGGAGCGCACAAGTTATTATATACATTCTGACACAGGGGAGGTCACAGAGGCAAAGTCAGGGGAGAAAGAACTCAAGGAAAGTGTAGGTGGGAAAGAACTGAGAGCTAGGGGGGTTAGGAGAGGGGGACCCCAAACTGCCAGGCAGGAGATGAAGAGGGGGCTTATTCTAGGCTTGGGGGACAGACCACACAAATCCATGGAGGCAAGAAACAGCGGAGAGAGTTTGGAGAAGAGGACCTAGTCCTGGCTGGCTGGCTGGCTGTATAAAATGAGTCAAGCAAACAAAATGTTACAGCAGTGATGTATAATGTCAAATCAAGTATGAAATGAAGTAACTCCACAAAAATCAAGCAAACAAACATATAAAAAGCTGTAAGTTTGCCCTGTCAGAACAAAAACAAGGTTTTTTCTTTTTCTTTTCTTTTCTTTTACGTTTTTTTATTAAAATTTTCATTTCCACAAGATTGAGTTCCAAATTTTCTCCCCATGTCTTTCTTCCCACCACCCCAAGACAGCATGCATTCTGAATACCCTTTCCCCTAATCTGCCCTCCCTTCTATCATTGCCCACCTTCTCTTATACCCTTCCCCTTCTATTTTCCTGTAGGGCAGGATAGATTTCTATACCCCATTGCCTGTATATCTTATTTCCCAGTTGCATGTAAAAACAATTTTTAATATTTATTTTAAAAGGGTACCAAATTTGGGTTCCAAATTCTCTCCCTTCCTTCCTCCCCACCCACCCTCATTGAGATGGCAAGCAACTCAATACAGGTTAAACATATGCAGTAATGCAAAACACTTCCATAGTAGTCATATTGTGAAAAACTAATTATATTTCCCTTCTTCCTACCCCAACCCATTTATTCTATTCTCTCTTTTGACCTTGTCCCTCTTCAGAAGTGTTTGCATCTGTTTACCCCCTCTACCAATCTGCCCTCCCTTCTATCACCACCCCCTCCTATTCCCTTCCCCCCTATTTTCCTGTAGGGTAAGAAAGATTTCCATACCCAATTGAGCATGTATGTTATTCCTTCCTTAAGCCAAATCTGATAAAAATAAGATTCACTCATTCCCTCTCACCTTCCCCTACTTCCCCACCACTATAAAAGCTTTTTCTTGTCTGTTTCATGTGAGATAACTTACCCACTCTACCTCTTTCTTTTTCCTTCTCCCAGTATAATCCTCTCTCACCCCTTAATTTCATTTTTTAGATATCACCCCTTCATCTTCAACTCACTCTGCGCCCTCTATCTATCTATCTATCTATTTATCTATCTATCTATCTATCTATCTATCTATCTATCTATCTATCTATCTATTTATACATATATATTTTTCCCTCTAACCACTCTAATATTGACAAAGGTCTCATGGGTACAAATATCATCTTTCCATGCAGGAAAGTAAACAGTTCAACTTTAATAAGTCCCTTAAGATTTCTCTTTCCCGTTTACCTTTTCATGCTTCTCTTGAGTCTTGTTTTTGAAAGTCAAATTTCCTATTCAGCTCTGATCTTTTCATCAAGAATGCTTGAAAGTCCTCTATTTCACTGAATGACCATTTTTTCCCCTGAAGGATTATACTCAGTTTTGCTGGGTAAGTGATTCTTGGTTGTAATCCTATCTCCTTTGATCTCTGGAATATCATATTCCAAGCCCTCCAGTTCCTTAATGTAGAAGCAGCTAAATCTTGTGTTATCCTGATTGTGTTTCTACAATACATGAATTGTTTCTTTCTGGCTACTTGAAATAATTTCTCCTTGAACTGGGAACTCTGGAATTTGGCTATAATATTCCTAGGGGTTTTCCTTTGGGGATCTCTTTCAGGAGGTGATCAGTGGATTATTTCTATTTTACCCTCTGGTTCTAGAATATCAGGGCAGTTTTCCTTGATAATTTCTTGAAAGATGATGTCTAGGCTCTTTTTTTGATCATGGCTTTCAGATAGTCTAATAATTTTTAAATTATCTCTCCTGGATCTACTTTCCAGGTCAGTTGTTTTTCCAATGAGATATTTCACATTGTCTTCTATTTTTTCATTCTTTTGGTTTTGTTTTACAATGTCTTAATTTCTCATAAAGTCACTAGTTTCTATTTGCTCCATTCTAATTTTTAAGGAAGTATTTTCTTCAGTAAGCTTTTGGACTTCCTTTTCCATTTGGCCAATTCTGCTTCTTAAGGCATTCTTCTCTTCATTGGCTTTTTGGACCTCTTTTGTCATTTGGGTTAGTCTATTTTTTAAGGTGTTATTTTCTTCAGTATTTTTTGGGGTCTCCTTTAGCAAGCTGTTGACTTGTTTTTCATGATTTTCTTGCATCACTCTCATTTCTCTACCCAGTTTTTCTTCTATTTCTCTTACTTGCTTCTCAAAATCCTTTTTGGGCTCTTCCATGGCCTGGGACCAATTCATATTTTTCTTGGAGGCTTTGGATGTAGGAGCTTCCACTTTGTTTTCTTCTTCTAGTTGTATGTTTTGATCACCAAAGAAAGATTCTATGGCCTGACTTTTTTGTGCAGTTTGCTCATTTTCCCAGCCAATTACTTTAGTTTTAAACTCTTTGTTAAGGTAGGGGTCTGTTTCCAATGTGGAGAATGTTCTGTCCCAAGCTTCAGGGGTTTTGTGCAGCTATTTTCAGAGATACTTCTAGGGACCTGTAATTTTCAGTTCTTCCAAGGTGGTATGATCAAGAGTGAGGTGTTTACTCCTTTCCTGGCCTGTGCTCTGGTCTATGAGTGATCACAAGCACTCTTTTCTGCCTTGGAACTGTGAGGAAGATTCCCTCTCTACTGCCACCACAAGCTCCACCATGCCAGCGCTTCTCCTCACCCCAGGACCGCCACCCAGAACTGTGACCCAGATCCAAGCATGGGTAAAGCAAGAGAATCCTACCTCAGCACCAGCAAAGAGATCCCTGCAATACCCATCTGATCCACCACTCCATCCCCCCTCAGTCTGTAGGCTGGGAACTCTGGAAGCAGCTGCAGCCCTGGTGTTGCTCAGGGACTGAGGCCTGACTATGCTCCTCTGTCACTGTGAGAGACACCCTTCCTATTGACTTTCTAAGTTGTCTTTGGTGTTAGTGGGTTGAGAAGTCTGGAAACCACACAGCTGCCGGTGATTCAATCCCCTGAGGCCTGCTCCAGGTTCTCTGAGCACCCACGCTGCGCACGCAGGCTGAACTGCTGCATTCCTCTCCCAGCCTGACGCAACAGACTTTTCCTGATGACCTTGCAGGTTGTCGTGGGCTGGAAATTTGTTTCATTCTGTCTTTTTGTGGGTTCCGCTGCTCTAGAATTTGTTTAGAGCCATTTTTTATAGGTATTTGGAGGGGTTTGGGTTTTTCTTTTTAAATAATAAAATATGTCTAGTCACACTATTCTCATTAGAAAAGTGTTAATAGTTTAACAAGAACAAAAAAGGTTTTGTATAATTAATAACTAAAATATTTTAAATTGTGTATTTTACCTCTATCTCCTCTTTAATGTCTATTTTTCTGTAATGTACCATATTAGCACAGGAGTACATGTATATAACTTGTAATTAAATATAATTTTTAACTGATGGGTGATCTGTCAAAAGTTTGGAGAACAGTGGCCTAGGGCACTGGGAGTTTAAGGGACTTGTCCATGGGTACCCAGGTTGCCTGCCAGGGGCCAAGCTGGCCCCCAAACTGCTCCTTACACTGAGCTGAGATCTGCCTCCTTGTAGATGATACCACTGCCTCTAGTCTCACACACACACACACACACACACAGAGCAATAGAGAATAGAAGAGTGTGTTTTTAAACCCGTATTTACCATTTCAGAGGTTTCAAAGAGTGTGATTGGGTGCCCTGTCTAGATGCACAGTGCAGAGAACCTACTGGCCCTGGAATCAGAAAGACCTGAGTTCAAAAGTGAATGCTGAAAACTGTCTTTACATGTAATCGGAAAAAACAAAATACTATAAAGTGGAGGGGGAAAAAAAAAGAAAGACCTGAGTTCAAATCTGATTTCAGACACTTGCTAATTGTGTGACCTTGGGCAAGTCACTGAACCTTTATGATCCTCAGTTTCCTCACTGATAAATGGGGCATAATAACATCTATATCCCCATGACACTAGGGGGAGAGAATGAAAATAAATTCAGTCCAGCCTAGCCTAAAGCTACCTCATAATTTTTTTTTTTGCCTACAATGAGTGGGGTCCTCTAAAGTACCGTGTCCCTTAAGGTGTGGGAACTAGGACAGGTCCCCACTGCTTCCTTTGCCTGGGTCTAAGGGTGACTGTTATTGTTTGGTCATGTCCCACGGACCATCATGCCAATATCATGCCAATACTATCCATGGGGGTTTCTTGGCAGAAATACTGGAGGGGTTTATCATTTCCTTCTCTAGTGGATTGAGGCAAAGAGAGGTGAAATGACTTGCCCAGGGTCACAGAGTTAGTAAGTGTCTGAGGTCAGATTTGAACTCAGGTCTTTCTGACTTCAGTGCCAGTGCTCTATCCACTGAGCCACCTAGCTGGCCCCTAAGAGTGATACTATGCATTAATCACTCTACATTTCCCTGCCTCTTCTTCTGAAGGGAAGCATTCATCAAATCCACTTCCATCACTAGGGGCTACCTCCCAGCCATGAGGAGGCATCCAAATGGGACTTCAGTAGAAATACTACAAATTCGATCACTTCGCTTTCATAGATGAGGAAGTTTATGCTCAAAAAGATGAAAACCTCACCCAAGTTAAAGTAGCTGCTCTTTGCTCTTAGCAAACATATACTAGGCAGGAGAAAGAGGAAGCGTGATATTAGACACCATGGCAAATGTGCTTCAATAAATCCACCTTCACTCTTACGACCATCAGGAGGACTGGACCAGAGGACCTCAGAGGTCCCTTCCAGTTCTCCTTCTGGGACCTATGGATGTCGGAACTCACCACAACAAAATGAAGAAGCTCCTCGTCAGATGAAAGATCATTTTTCAGCCTCTGGAACAAAGCCTGCACTGCTTTGCAAGGTCCGCACCAAGCTTGATACACATCGATTACTAAAAAAACACAGACATGTTAAGGGAGGGTTAGGTGGCCTCAGTGACATATGCAAGGCATCCCTCTGTATCTGGGCTGAAGGGCAGGGGTGGCTCCTGACGGGCCAACACCCCATTACTGGGTGACTCCAGAACAGGGGGTCAGGGAGAATGACTGGGCCCCAATCTAGCCTGCCAAAGGGGCAGCAATCCCTGAAATACCTGTTAGACCTTTGTTCTGCAGCATTTCTTCCCACAGAGTTTCATTATTGACCAGCATCTGCAACAAGGAAAGGACTGTGTAACTACCCGGTAGTTAAGATAACAATGGACCCAGCCTCCAAATGGTTCACAGCTCATGATGCATACCTGTAACTGGGCTTCTTTCTTCTTGCCTGCCATTTACCTGCTGAATAAGTGAAAAGAGAAAAAGAAAACACACTGAAGAGAAAGTGGGAGGAATGGACTTGAGTTTATCCACACAAAGGATCGTATTGCCTAAGGGCTTATTGCCGTCCACCTCAAACTGACCCAGGCGGGCACAGCAGTCAGCCAAGCATGTTTTTCAGTCTAGACTGGGTGGCCTCTTTCTTGGCCAATGTGACTGCTCTGACCCATACCATGATTCAAATTGTTACTGGTGTGTGAACCTCTGCCTATAGATGGAAAGCAGAGCTAAGCCTTGCCTCCTCTTCCTCTTCTCCTATTGACTGAGAAGATCTAGCAAGAACAGAAGTTACAAACACATCCACCTGAGCTGGGGGCACATTCTCCCCACTATGCCTGTGGAGTGCTCAGTTTTATTGCTGGAAGGACTGAGCCCTGCATGGCCCTACAATCCCTGAATCACAGAATCTGAGAGTTGGAAGGAAACTCAGTCAAACCCACACAAGAAGGAATCACCAACACAATACCCTACTGGTGCTCATCCAGAATCTGCCTGAAGACCTCCAAGAAGACCCCCAAAGGCAGCCCATTCCACTTTGGATGGCTCTGGTGCTTAGGGTAGTTTGGGTTTGTTTGGGTTTTTTCCCTGACATCAGGGATTGGTCCCTTTGCAACTTCTACCCTTTGCTTCTGATTCTGCTCTTTGGGGCCACACAAACGAGACATTTGTAAAGCACTTAGCACAGTGCATGGTGCATAGTAGGTGCTTTATAAATACTAATTATTATACTACAACATAGTGCTAATTCCTCTCCTACATGACAGCCCTTTAAATATCTTGACGTGGCTATTATGGACCTGGCCCCCAGTATCCTTGTAGGCAGGTTAAACATGCCCAATTCTCTCCAATGAGCTTCACTATCCTCATCATGCTGTCCAGGTTAGCAGTGCTATTCTTAAATTGTGGTGCCCAGAATAGGAGACAGTACTCCTAATGAGGTCTAGCAAAGGCAGAATCAAGGATATTCTCAACTCCCTATTCCTGGAAGCTCTGGCTCTCCTACTACAGCCCAAGGTCGCATTGGAGTTTTTGGCAGCCATGTCACACCGCTGACCCACATTGAGCTTTCTGTCCACCAAAACCCCCAGATCCTTTTCTGAACATGTCTACATCTACTCATACCTTTCCCATCTTTGGAATTTTTGTACAAAAGGGCAAGACTTCGCATTTACCTTTATTGAATTCCAGCTTAGTACATTCAGCCCCACGTTCCAGCCTTTGGGTGTGTTTGCTAACCCTCCTAGCTGTGTGTCATCTGCACGTTTGCTGAGCAGGCCATCTATGCGTTTATCTAAGGCTTGGATAAACCAAGTCCAGAGCCCCAACGTCCTCTCCTAGAGACATCCTGTCACAATGACACTGAAGCATTCACAATGGCTCTCTGAAGCCAGCAATCTAACCAGTTCTGAATACATCTACTATCAAATCATCTAATACATACATCACGATTGTCTCCTCAAGTATAGAATGTGATACTTTATCAAAAAGCTTTACTAAAATCATTGCCTTCATCCACCAGCTCAGTGACACTGTCAACAAAGGAAATGAGGTTAATCTGACTCAATTTGTTCTTGAGGAAGCCAACCTGGCTCTTCAGGATCACTGCTTCCCTTTCCAGGGAATGGTTCACAAATCATCTTTTTAATGGGTTAAACTTTCTTAGGAATCAAAGTTCAATTCACTGGTCTACAGTGGACAGACTCTCTTCTTTATTTTTTAATCAGAACATTCACCCTTCTCTAATCAAGTAGCACCTCTCCTATTTTCCATGATCTTTCCAATGTCATTGACAGGGGCTCAGCTGTCATAGCTGCCAATTCTTTCAGGAACTGGGGATATAGTTCATCTGGGCCAAGGGATTTAAATCCATCAATGGTAGCTAGGGTCTCTTTTACTATTTCCTTATTTATCTTGGATACCAAGTGAGTTATTTTCTGTCCCTCCCAATCCAAAAGTTATTCTCTTTGGTAGAAAAAGCAGAAACAAAAGGGAAATTGGGTATCTTCAGCTTCTCTCTCTTGTTGGTTATCAATCATTATCCCATCTTCCCCAAACAAAGGTCTAACGCTTTTTCAGATCCTCCTTTGTCTCCCAATATAACTTAAAAAAAAAAGCCTTTGTGTTTTTCTTAACATCCAAGTATCCCTTATAGTATGTGAAAACTGCCAGTGCTGCCAATGTAACCTCCATTTAAGGAGACTTCTTTCCTAAGTAGATGAAATGTCTATATTAAGAATCATTGATTGAGATTGCTTGCCATCTTGGGAAGGGGGGAGGGAGGAAAAAAGAAAAATTTGGAACTCAAAATCTTATAAAAAAAGAAATGTGAAAATTACTTTAAAATATACTATTTATAAAACAATAAAAATAATATATTACATCTGAAAATCAAAATAAAGTGTTCTCCAAATTAAAAAAAGAAACATTGATTGTAATGCTTCTTGTTTGCTTGGATGATAAAGTGTTCAATTTGCTTTGAAGTATAGCTGCTGTTAACCTCATAATTTTCATACTAAAAAATTCAACAGATTTCCTCCTTTGCAAGAAGCTCCCCTGGGCTTCCCCTCCGCTACTTAGAGCTGGTGATCAACTCTTCCAATGTCATTCTTAGGTTAATTGTTACCATAGGCTCATAGATCTAGAGCTGAAAGATACCTCAAGGTTATCTTTTCTAATCCACCATTTTATGGAAGAGGAAGCTGGGGCCCCATGAGATTGGGTCTTGCCTGCTGTCACACAGATAGTAAATGACAGACATAAGATTTGAACCACTGTCCTTTTGACTACCTTGATGGGCAGACTTCCCACCCACAGGCAAAGCCAAAAGTCACCCACAGTGACTGAGTGAGTGTTACTGTTAAGCTACTTATGAGAAACCATCCATCATTTACCTTTCCCCTCCCACCCTAATAAAAAAACGTATGCATTTAAGGCTGCTGATAACCTGGCTGAAGAACCAGTCATAAATGAAGAAAAGATCAACCATGTGTATCCATGTTTATCCATGAGTCTCTTAGCCCCTCAAACCTTTAGGCCAATTAAAAAAAAAACCTGAGAATTTACTGATAAGTGACATCAGAAGCGGAGCTTTTTCTCTCTATAAAGGAGACCAACCCAGCCAGGAGCAGAGGCAATCAGTCAGCATGCTGTCAATCGGGCTACTAAGAACAAACATTTCTGTCTCCTTTTCTCTGCCATTTGAAGTAATATCTCATGTGATCCTTAGTGATGTTTGCACAAAATAGTCCTGCTCTCTCTACTGGTAGCTTGAAAATGGTGATGGTCCTCAAGAACATTTCACTGATTTCCTAGATCTGGCCAGTCCAGGTATACTTTATGTCTGAAATTATATAACTGGTATTTTCAAACAGGAAACAAACATTTCTTAATACCATTTGTGTTCATTAGACCAAAGCAAATAGCAGTCCGAAGGAACATGTCTGTATTCCTTCCCACTGAACTTGGAGATCATTATTTTGGACTTAAGAGTCAGGAAATGTTATGTTCAAATACTGCCTCTGACACTTATTTTCTGAGCCTTGCTTTCTTCAACTGTAAAATAACCTACTGGGCAGAACCTGCCTCCCAGAGTGATTCTGAAGATCACGTAAGACAGTAAATATTAAGCACTGAAGACAGTCTTTAATGTGGACCAAGAATGGACTGTCTGAAGAAGCAATGATCAGTTTCTTCTCATGTACAAAGTGAAGTAGCCTGATGCAGTGGACACAAGGCTGGCCTCAGAGTAAGGAAACCTTGGAATGAAGTCCTGCCTTTGATTCCATACTGGCTGGGTGACTATGGGCTAGTAACCTAACCTCTCTGAACCTTGGTTTCCCCACCTGTATAATGGGGATATTACCTCAAAGGGCTATTGTAAGGTTCAGATGAGCTAATGAATACAAAGCGCTTTGCAAACTCTAGGGTTCTGTATACAGTCAGTTGTCCGTTACAGGATTAAGAACCGTCAGGACCAAAGATGATCAGAATGTTCGGAGAACAGCCAGAAATACTCCAGCCCCGGGTACAGGAAGTCAGAAAGACCAGTGAGAGGCTTTGTCAGAACAACTGAGCCTTCAAGCACCGGGGATGATAGTGTGGGCGCACCTGACCGACTTGAGGTCGGAGGACCTGGGTTCAAATCTCTCTGGTACTTAGAATGGCCTTAAGGACCTAAATAATTGATCCCCACCGCGCAGCCTTTTCCTCCCCCCCCCCCCCCCCGCCCATCCCTTCCATTTTCTTTCCTTTGTTCCTTTCATAATACCTGAGGAGGCAGACAGCAGTGTGTAGGGAGAACTACAGGAAAGATGGAGAAAGGGAGAGAGGGAGGGCGCACAGGAGGAAGTCGGACGACCGACTGGACCGACTGGGGGCAGGATGGACGCCGTCTGCGGCCACAGGCGCTGAGCCCTCGGGAAATACAGAATAAAAAGCTCGGGGCCGCTGCCCAACCCCCGGCGCCCTCGAGCTGCGACCAACCACCGTCCCTTGAGCCTGGGGTGCGGGTGGTCAGGTCCCGCGCCGCCCTCAAAACCCCCAACACACTGTCCTGGGGTGGGCGGTGAGGACACCGGAGGCCCGCTGTTTGCGCTTGGCCCCTGGCCAGCCCTAAAAAGACTTAAGAGTCTCCGCTCGACTTCTCCAGGGGCAACATTGAATAAGACCCTGTCAGTCTAGAACGTTCTAGAGTAGGCAGGGCAAGGGACAAATGTCACTAAGCCCAGCGCCTCCATCCTGGATACCTTCTTTTCCTGTCCTTATTCTTTGTAAGTCATTCTTAACTTAGGGGCTCTGCACCCCATGGGAGGAGTATTTTTGCGGTTAAGTCGTTTTTCAGTCCCGTCTGACTACACAGCATCCCACATACCTAGTGCCCCTCTAGTGTTCCTGTCTTTTAACGCCTTCCTCTTCCCAGCATTCTCTAGACCAGCCAAACTGGCCTAGCTGCCAG